CCTTACATAATTTAATATCATGATATTTTCTTAGAGCGGGTTGATTTAGAGTTCCTGTTTCTAAGCCAAGTGGAACTTTCATATAAATATTTGTATCAAGAGAACCATATAGATATGTAGTAACTACATCCATCAGATGCATCTCAAGGATGGCATGAACTGTCATTCCAATAATATATCAAAATATAATTGAATCCATGACTAGAGAATATGTGGATTCATAATCAATGCCAAATCATTGAATAAATCCTTGAGCAACAAGATGAGCTTTATAGCGGGTTATTTGGCCTTGAGCATCTGGCTTGTATATTAATATTATTTTATATCCCATAGGACAAGATATAAGAGTATCTACAATTGGACCAAAGACTTTCTTCTTACGCAAAAAGACATACTCTTCCTCAATAGCAGTTTTTTATTTTGACCAATCTGAGCGACGCATCACCTCTTCGATGGTTTGAGGTTCAAGATCGTCTTCCTCGCAAGAAAGGGCTTTTATAATCATATATGTAAATGATTCATCTACCATAATAGATGGGCTGTCCCAAATATCATCTGTAGCACAATACAAAATAGATAATTCTTTACTCAACTTGTTCTTATTCCTTCCAATTACAAGATTGTTTTTCATAGGAATTCAATATACATTATGCATGGATATAGCATCATGAATTGGTAGTCTTACAAGATGAGTGGCAATTTCTTGAGAAATAATACCAAGATTAGTTAATTTTATAGCTTTCTTCTTATGTGGTTGCTTATCTGGTCCACGAGTTCTTTTAGTTGTTGTTGTTATAACTTGAGGTATTGTAGTCAATGGCACTACAATCTGAGCAGGTGCATTATGAGCCTCATTAATAGGAACTCTTATAATTCTAGGTACATCATTGAAGCCATCAAGTGTTTCATCCACGATCCGTTTTAAATGTAAAATCTTAGCAACTTCATTTTTTGGCAAAGATGTCCTAGGATCGGGATTCATTGTAAACGTTTCTGGTGCTTCAAATATGAGTACTTTATTTCTTTGTTGATTGGATACTCCTCCTCGAAGAGATGGGAATACATTTTCTTCAAAACGGCAATTTTGCAAATGTGCATGTAATAATGTGCCAATTAATGGATCAACAATACGAATAATGCTTGGTGAATCAAAACCAACATATATGCCTTCTTGTCGATGAGCTCCAATGGTACGCCGTTGAAGTTCTAGTACTGAAATCCAAGTACGGAAACCAAATACTCATAAGTAAGATACATTTGGAACACGACCCGAAATGAGCTCATGTGGTGAAACAATTTCAAGAGAAGAAGGACCGAGGCGTATTAATTCTACAGCATGTAAAACTGCATGACCCCACATAGATGCAGGTAGATTTGCGTGAAGGAGGAATAGCCGGGTAATGACTTGTATACACTTTATAAATGACTCTGCAAGTCCATTTTGAGCATGTTCATATAGAATACAATATGTCAACTCGATTCTTGTTGCAGTACAACAGTCTTCAAAAGACTTTGATGCAAATTCTTTTGCATTATTCATATACAATGTTTTTATAGGATAATCAGGAAAATGTGCCCAAAAGCAAATAAGCATAGATATAAGATTGGCAAACACCATGTTTCGAGTTGATAATAATGAAACATGTGATTGTTTATCTGATGCATCAACAAGGACCAAAAAATAATGAAATGGTCCTGATATTGGATTAATAGGACCACAAATATCACCATGCAATCTTTCAAGCATTGGTGGTAATTCTTGTGGAAGTTTCCAAATTGAAGGCCGAGTAATCATTTTACCTTGCACGCATGCACGACATAATTCCATAGAGTCTACATCTGTAGGCTTTAAATTGTGCCCAATTATACATGGGATGATCTTTTTAAATAATATGGATCTTGGATTCCCAATCGTCCAAGCCAAAGAGAAACACGACTCTCTGAGATAGATGATGCAAAATTAAATATAATGGGAGGCCGAATCACAATTCAGTATAAATCATTTTTTGCAGCAATAGCCTTTTCAACAACTTTATGATTCTTTGCAAGAACCAAAATCTCTTTTCTATTTAAAGTGGCGGTCAAGAGGTGATAACCATTAATACGCACATCACGGTAGCTGATCAGACTCCGAGGTGCTAAGGATACAAACATTGCATGTTTACATTTTATGATGGAACCCGCAGGTAATTTTACCATCGTTGTGCCCTCTTGGAAACAAAACGCATTTGCTCCAGCCATGGTCATCATATTTTTAGTTTGCGAAGTTGAAGATTTTTTAATAAAAAATCATCTATCTCCCAAGATAGTATGTGTTGTTGCATAATCAATGAGCGCATCATTTGATTCATCATTAGAGATTCTATCATTCATATAAGCCTCTAAGTCATCAACACCAATTGAATCCATGGACGCATCCATGGTATGAACTTCACGAGCCTCAGCTCGTAATTTCTTATTTTCTTGGAACATTTTAATAAAATATTCTGAAGTATGGCTCGTATGTGCTAAATGTCCAATCATTCCACATTTATGGCAAGAACGCATCTCTGATTTTTAATTTCTACTATAATTAATAGTAGAACGTTTATTCTTTCCATATGGGTAAAAATGGACTTGACTACCTTGATACTTGTGAGCACGTTTTCCATGTTTATATAATTTCTTCTTAGACTTTGAAATATTGAGTGCATGAGATTCTGGAACTGTAGTTCCAATAGTACAAGCTTCCGCATTGCGCAAGAGTAACTCATTTTGCTTCTCCACAAGAAGTAGATAGGACATGAGATCAGAATGACTCTGAAATTTCATGTTCCTGTATTGTTGTGCAAGCACAGCAGATGGAGGAGGAAATGTAGAGAGAATTTTCTTAATCATTTCTTCTTCAAAAATGCTTTGTCCAGATAATCATAATTGCGAGACAATACTATACATTTCACTATTGAAAGCATTTAAATTTGGAAAATCCAAGACACACAAATGTGTCCAATTATGATGTGCACGTGGAAGAAAAATGGTCTTTTGATGATCAAACCTAGATTTAAGATTCTTCCAAAGTTCTGTAGGGTCTTCCATTTCCAAATATTGATGTTATAATGCAGGTACAAGATGACGACGAAGGAGAAGAAGTACTTTCCAACGAATAACAGGAAGTATAGAGATACTTGTTGTAGGAGATTCTTCAAACATAATGGCATCCGAGAGTTGTTCTGCAAATAAATTTGTTTTTGCCATTTTTGCCCATAATAGATAATTATTTCCATCCACAGTCAATGGTGGAAATAAAACAGCTTGAAAATGTTGGGATACACTGGTAATAGTTGGAACCATAGTAGAAGCAGTTGAAGATGTTGAAGCACTCATTATAAACAAATATGTAAAGAAATTACAAGATCAAGTAGAAAAGTTGAGTAAAACGTACCTTAAAATATAAAGTCAAATAAAATGATAAACTTGAATTTGAAAAAAAAAAAAAAAAAATTATATAATTTTTTTTTTTTTTTTTTTTTAAGGAGAAAGAATTGTAGATTAAGGCAGCAGAATAGCAATAAGATGGCTGTAGCAAGCAGCGGCGAAGAACAGCGGCGGGCAACAGCAAACAGTAATGGCGGGCAATGGCGGGCAATGGCGAGTGGTAGCAGCGGGCAGCAGCGGTGACGACGGCGACGGACAGCTGCGATGGTGGCGGTGGCAGCGTCAATGGCGACAAGATGGCAGCGGTGGATTTGGCAGCTGTTCGGTGACAGTTCGGCGGCAGGCGCGGGGCGCAGCAAGGAGCAAAGAGGAAGCAGAGGGTGGAGTTGAGCCGGATCAAGTATTCAGAGCAAGCAAGGCAGGGAGTGGAACAAGTACTCTAAGCAAGCAGCTAATGTGTGAGGGACCAACAAGAAGAACAAGATCATGACCCAGACACTGAGCAAGGGTAGCAACAAGTTTGAAGAATCAAAGACTAGAGCAAAAAATTGTGTTAGTGTGTAGAAGAGAATCGTGCTGATAACGTGTTGAGAATGTTTAGAAAGACACAAGAGTAATAGTAAGTCATACACACACAGAAGAGTAGTAGTAAGTCATACACACAAGAGGGTTTCTAAGGAGAGAGAGCTTCACACACACAAATCTATTGATCTGGTTGTGTCTCGTATACAAGAAGAGAGAAGAGGAGAAAATAAACAGTACTTCTCCACTAGACTCTAAATATTGTAGCTATGGTAATTACTGTAGTCTACAGTAAATATTATGGAGAGCGTTGGTTACATTTGATGATCTCAACAACGAGCAACCCTTTAAGATGGGTTGGGCCATTTAGTTCTTCGACCAGCCCCAAGTCTAAGATTCCCTTAATTTTTTAGTGATCTTTCTTGTGTTTGATTTCAGGTACTTGCTCCTTCCTCATTGTGAGCAGTAATCCATTATTGGATTGAATCCTAAAGCTTGAAGGCACATGGGACTACTCCATTATTAGAGAATATGACGTGCAAGCCTCAGAAACGTGAGATGTCTATGCTTTTATATTCGAAGATGATTCGTGGCGTGGGAGTGTTGGAGGTACATTTAGCCTATTTAGTAACAGATTGATCAGTAAACAATGGTGCAACGCGGAATGCAGGGTCATAAGGGGACGCACGTGGCAGTTAAGCCTGGAAGTCGAAGCAGGAGCGCCATAGCAGCAAAAAGATTTTCTTGACCAGGTCCGTGGAAGCCCAAGAGTCTTGTCTACAAACAACACCAGCAGAGTGTGATACCAGCTGATTCGACCACTTGTTTGATACCAGTCCAATTTTCATTAAATTCAGGTTAGCAATTTCAACGCTACTGATCTTTACGACTTCAGTTAGCTTCCATTCTTCATGATACATTGCCAAATAATTACAATTTAAAATTCCATTAGAAGGTAGCCGCTATTGTCACAATCGAGTTGCAAATGGGGCTTCTACTGCTAAAAAGTGAGTGCATCTATGATCATCATTTAAAAACCATCACCATTAGCGAGAAGCCGTAAATTCCGTTTGCAAGGAACTGGAAATTACGATGGTCAAAATCGCAACCTTATATTATTCTCATGTACAAAGACATCAATCTGTACCTCCATTGTTGGAATGGCAGTATACTTAATCAACACAATCAAATGCACCAAATCTGCATTTTATAATTAAGGACTGGCTAATGGTCTCACTTTCATGGAGAAAACAAGTACCAAACTGGAATGAGCACTACAAGTATAATAATGCCAAGATCTTCGTACTTTCTCACTCATCTAAAATACCATATTTCTGTAGTAAATGTGAGATGTACTCTCCAGCGTAGAAACAAGAAACGGCTGCGACTACACCAGTGACGATCAAGGTAGACACAGTTCGCTGGTACGATAACACCGTCATTTTAGCAGCAACCTTTCCACATCCGAGTAAAGCTATGGCTATGGTAGAGACAATCACAGTTACCGCCATCTTATAATCATGGTCATTGGACTGTCGGAAACTGAATCCAAAAGCAAGAACTGGAAGAGACCCGAACACCAGGAATGAGAGAATGGCCAACGGGCCATTCACCAAAAACCTTGGCCCAACGCTCTCTTGAAAGCGAGCTGGACTATCCTTATGTAAATCTTGGATCTGTAACAAACGAAATATTCAGAAACATGGCACTTACATTATGCCGACAACTTGCAGGTCCGTATTATCCTATGTACAGCATCAAATACAACACTGTGATCAAGAGCTTGAACAAGAGAGCGAAAGAGTACGTGCATACCTTGTAGAAAAACGTCAGGAAACCAAAAAACAAATTGGCAAGTCCCAGGGCGAGAATGTTCCCTAAGTCAGACGAAAAAGATTGTTAGCACGGTAACAATCATAGATTTGAACATCAATTGCCTTGATACAAGATCAGAGCAATGTGCTATTTTCTGAAGAGAAAGAGAGACTCACTTGTCTTGGCGTCACCGCCAGCACCAGAAGCAATAACTCCGAGACTTGTCAACGATACGTCAAGCCCACCATAAACAATACTTTTCAGATATTCAGGATCCTGGTAGCGTGATTCATCCATCAGTCCAGCATCCTCAGCTGCGCGTGTAGCAGCTAAAAGTGTACTTGCAGCATCAGTGCCATCAAGGTCAATGACCGCGTGATCGGTTTCCACAGTTACTGTCGTTTCTGTAGTAGCCAATTCTGAAGAGACAGACAGAAAAACAAAATGAATTACGTAGATAAGAGGGAAAGAGTTTAATTTTTAAAAACAATATTAAAAAATAAAAAAATAAAAAAATCATCCAGCTCACTTGGATTCGAGAAAACAGTTAAGACTGCTAAAACTGTATCCAAATTAAGATTAAAACAAAGAAGAAACCTCGGTCATATCGGCCCCTCCATGGGAAACAGCTACACAATGAGTGGTCCACTTCAGCATCCTCGCCAGCAACTTCCGTAGAAGTTGTCGTCGTTGTGGTAACTTCATGGGTTTGTTCAATAGTTACATGAGCGGATGAATGTTTGGAATCTGCTTCAGAATCAGTGTCAAGATGGTGGCTCTGCTGTTGCATTTGTTCTGAGTCACTTCCGAGAAGTGGAATTCGCAGTTCTGCCTCTGCATGCGTTAACGAGCAACAAATTCAGTACTATCAACAGAAGTGATCCACATAAAACACACATTATGGTGGTCTATGCGGCTCAAACTGGTCCCGGAAACTTTCGAGCAATCAAGACGGCCCAACTTATCAAAGCTGCAGGATCTATGCATGTAGCTTGATTTCTGAACAGGAAGTTCACCTTCGATAGTAGGTTTCCATCTACCCCAAAGCCACTTAGAGTTGGGGAGACAACAGGATGCGTCGGCATCTTGAACTGGAACGGGCTGCTGAGCTTGCACAACATAAGCAGCTGGACTGATCTCTCCACCAGTATCTAGTTGAATTGGATCAGACACTTGGGCGGGCTGCTCATCCTCTGTAGCAAGTTCAGATGCTCGGAGCTCTAGATTGAAATTTTTCTCGATCCCCGATGGCAGAATGTCTTTCATACCAGCATTTTCTACGCCTTCTGACAAACCAGCAAGGGCTGCATACCCAGTAGAAAATTGAATTTCCAACGCATGTGTGCTATCTTTTGACTCAGAGGCAGAAGATTCTTCTTCAACGGATGTTCGACTGAAGGTGGGATAATCATCAACATGTGGCGCTTCTTTCACTGCACCATCCTGTTCCACAAAAGCATGGACATAGCTAACTGAGGTATCAACATTAACCGACCGTATGGTGTCTCCATGCTGCTCATCGGTCTGATCCGAAAATGTAGTAGTAACCGTTTCAGTTACGACACGCGCGTCAATTGTAGTATGCTTCGTCACCTCCTCACGAAATCCTGAGTGCGTCTCCTCGAAAGCATCCAAGTTAGAAGCTGTAGGAACTTCATCAGACGACTCAAGAAGAGGTTGTCTCTCTACGGCTCTATCTGCAATGTCACAGCGTTCACGGGTCACCAAAGACAAGTCGAGTGAATCCAAAGGAGAATTAATTGGAGAACCCAAGAATACTACTTCTACACGCGCCATACAAAAGCTTGCGAGAAAGATTACAAATAGTGACATTGAGATGTGAAATAAGAAATTTCAGTGCAGCTGTTCAATATAGACATAAGACACTAACAGACACAATACACGTACTGGTAGTCAATCTGGACAGAATGAGGAGCCATGAATTGCACTGGTTAAGATTGGAAGAATATGAGCAATAAGAAAACGACTAATTACACCACTGAAGAATTGTGTCACCATTTGACGAAGACACTGAACTGTTCAGAATATTCAAGAATATTATGAGATCATCTCTCATAATTCATGCTCAAGTGCTAAACTGACCGTTTGTTTGGTAGGCAAGCTGTGAGTACGAAGGCAGGCAACTTCCTGGAACGCAGCAGGTCCAGGTTGCCCTCTCCCTGGTTTCTTCTTCAAATGCCTCATGAACAGGTGGCAAATGCGGCAAGTTATCATGTTCAGAAATTTCTTCGGTGAAACTGAAATCTCTTTGTTGCACTTCAGGATGGCTGATATCCTCTATCACCGAAGATGCAATGAATCCCTGATCAACATCTACTGGCAAAGACTCCACTTCGCTGGGAGTTGGTACTTTTGAAGAAGTAGGCTTTCGTATTAAAGGAACCTCCTCTTGGTCCACTGTTTCAGAATCACTGAAATCCCCTTCCATATGCTGACCTTCATCGCGAAGTGTTTTAATATCTGTTTTCTCGACTTCTTTACCTCGCTGAGAAGTTGTTTCTATAGTTCCATGAGACGTGGTTTCCGAGGCCAAAGATGACTCGATTTCTGCAGTTTTAACCTTATGAGACAAATCTGCAGTCCCTGCAAAGTTAATGGAAAAGGGCCGAATTAATCAGACAGATCCCGTGACGAATACCTCAGAAAAGAGCATATGAAACAGAATCCAAGAATACCGCAATGTGGACATATATATAGAAATATTTTACCTTCATTCGTCAGGTCAGATCTCCTCCAAGAAATAGCTGGTAGTAAGAGAGGAAAGCATCTGGAATCCTCTCTTCTCATCATGCTTATTTCATTCTCAGATAATTCGTCTAGGACTTTGAAATCGGTTCCTGAGACAACACAACGCCATAAAGTTCAATTTTAGAAAATAAAATACGAAAACTTATTCTGGATTCTCTTATTCTGAATTCCACCACTGTGTACATAAACGACCCAAACAGCGAAAAACTCAACAAAGATCAACCGGATCACACTGAAAAATGGGTGAATCACTTCGCATTTGTGAATCTCGCTCAAGTCCTCGTATGTAAAGAAACAAAACGTATGTTTTTACCATCATTATTATTAAGGTGTAGTCAGAATGTCCTGCGATGACATTGAACATAGTCAAATTCACTCGTCATGAATTATGCAGGTATGAAAGGTGAAAGAGACAGACTGAAAATTACCTTTTATGATGGTTTGTTCGGGTAAAACAATCTCTTCTGCTTTCTCTGATTGAGATATAGAAGTGGTTTGTGGAGGAGCGATCTCTACCAGTAGTTTCGGCGGTGGAGCTTCGGGCTCTTTTAAGCTGTCAGTAACAGATTGCTCTAATGCCACACCAACACCTTCGCCGACAATTTGGGTCACCGTGTTAAACTCGAACGTGGTAGAAGTACTGCTACCTTGTTCGTCTTGTCTCTCTAGTACATATGAAAGCCAACCACAAAAATTAAACTTGAAAAACTGAAACGATGACTAATTGCGTATACATTGAGCATATGCGACACCAGCAACAACAAAATAGAATAAAGTCTTCGTACACAAACCTTTCTTACGGCCCGCTCCCGGAGGACCCCAAGGGTAAGCAGGAAGAAGAATATCCATACAATTGAGGGTCGCTCTCCGAACCTCGTGCTCTTCAGTAACAAATGCCACCGGCAACAAAGCTTCCTTCAAAGAGGGAGAGGGTTGAATAGTCTCACGACCTTCACTGCCAGAAGCTGAAGGTGACATTACTTCCTTCACAGAGGAGGTGATTTCAGAGATTTCTATATTATCAGTGCCAGATGCAATAGGTGGCACTACCGCTAGAGTTGAGGTGGATTCTTGAATCTGCCCATCAACTTTGGGGCTAGACGCCACAGATGATATCGCTACCTCCAAGGCATCCGAAACTCGGTTGATCTCTGGTGGAGTGACCTCTGCAGTTACATGAGAAGACTGTCAAAAATACAAAGACAATTACGTTTCCTTCCACAGAATAAAATAGATTCCGAGCTACCTGGCATACGTCATGAGGAAAATACGTGGCAGTTTCAGAAAAAACAAAAAATTCTACACCTTGGGTCCAGATGGGAATGCAACGTAAAAATAGTACACACCTATTTCTTCCGAAACCGTCTCAGATGATCGCCATGAAGGAAAACATAGACAATCAGCTCTGCGCTCTGCTTCGGTAATACGTATTGCTTTAACAGTCATATCTGGCTCTGGTGCGGCTTCTGGAGAATCAGTGGTACGAGAAAATCCCGGAGTGGGTGGCTCTTCCTGAGGAGCTACGGATAGTGGAACCTGTTCTGGGCACATCCACAAGTCATCTCCAATGTTGGAGAAATCTTCAGTTGATTGAATTTTCTCTTTGACTTTGTTGATACTGTCCTCACTTCGACGCTCCGTGCTTTCATGTTCTTCATAAATATTGTCCTTCGTCAGCAAAGGTTGAGAAAGTTCTGAAAATAAGTGCAACACCAGCAAGTGTCATTCAGAGCACGTAAGCAAAACAAAAAAAGGGAATCAGAAAGTGCGATACGTGCGCTAAAAATGCACATATTATACTTCTAATGTGCAACCATTGATAAAAGAGCACATCCTAAAGCAAGAGGATTCACTGAGATGGAAAAAATACATATAAGTTAAGTTAATTCAACTGCGAAATCAAAAATGGAAGCCTACCTGATTGTACTTGTGTGGTTCTGGAGGCTCTTCTCCATAAAAATGGAAAACAAAGACGATCCTCTCGGGATTCCATTACCACCACAGGAATTTGAACTTCTCTCGCGGGTGCAACGGGTAGAACGACTATCTCAGAGGCTGGATGTTGCTCGATCTCAGAGACTGGCTGTTTCTCGGCTTCAAAAGCTGGTGGTTGTTCGACTTCAGAGCCTGCCCGTTCCTCACTGCCGGAAGCCGGGCGTTGTTCGGATGCAGGAGCCTGAAGTTCTTCACCTGACACATCTTTAGACTGAGTCGCAAAATCCTCGACGGGCGAGTCTCCAACGATCGCCTCTCTTTCTTGTTCACCTAGAGGAGGAGCCACCACCTCTGTACAATAACATTCTCTATTCTTGTCAATTCCAGCTCTTGGAAGATCCAAATCCATGAAGATAATTCTCCGGTTCTCCGTTTTTTATGGACGAATCCTACTTATCTGACATAGTGGTAATATCATACCTCAAAGGTCATACAAACAAACAAAAAAAAAAAAAAAAAAAAAAAAAAACGCCTGTGATAACATCGTACCACCAACAGAGCTTATCAAGTTTTACCCGAGTCAATCGGATGAATCGCCTTCCGTCTCCAAGTGAAGAAAATTGGCAGACAGCGATTATCATAGTCTTCGTTAGTGACGGTAGGGGGCAACTCTGCAACTTCCGCAGGAGATTGGACTACACTCTGATTTGATGTATCTCTCTGCGAACTGGATAAAACTGAAACAGGTGCTGACGCTTCTCCAGCGCCCAGTGCTGCGACAGCTTCAGTGCGTTGCACACTTCTTTCTGAAAGTCAAATTCAAAGCACAAATAAGCTCCTATAGAAGAGGACAGAAAAGAAAAATTGTGTCTTATGCTACAAAAAAACTCATCTTGTTCATTATCGATGCTGCTGCAGCGTCACTGGATTCTCAGACTAACCTGCATGTGAGCAACAGAAAATTAAACGACTTGATCTTGGCAGTAATGCCTGGCAAATATTTGTTACCTCTGCGAAATAGAAAGGTGAAGCAAGCCAAGCATCCGTAATCTTCATATTTTTCCACGATGGTCCCTTCAGCATTGTCGCCGATGGTATCACGAGCCTGCACTTCAGAGTTTTCCTCTTCGGTTTGAACTTCTGTCTCCCACTTGTCGACACTTGATATGACGGTAGTTCTCTTCCGCTTTCGAAGGATGACTCGCTTTGTAATGCAAGATCTGCACACAGGACACACAAGGTCGTGCGTTTCCTGCAGTCGCAGGATTCTCTCTACCTCGGATTCACCTTCAATTGCCCTTGTTGAGGTGCTCGCACCCGCATGCGATTCACCACCATTCAGTTCCCCCGGAAATTCATGGACAATTTTGAGTGTAGGGGTGCTGGATTCAGAGGAATAGACCTGGTTGGAAACAGCTCCCATGGACTGAGATTTTGATAACGAGCTCTTGCCCGGAGTGCGTGGCAAAAACCCGTCCTCTTGTCGGAATATGACAGTATCAGTGTAGGTTTCAGTTGTTGTTGTGTACGTTTTGTGTATAGTCTGTCCCGACTGAGCATCGTGCTGAACAAAGCTCATGTGATTGTGTACTTCCGTCTTCTCTCCATCACGTACAGTTGCTTCTACGCGACTCTTCAGGTCAGGGGCATTAACAGTATCCTCCCTCTTCGGAGAAATGGATGTTTCCTGCTGCAGCCATGTCGACGGTGAAGAGGAGTGTGAGAAAGATGTTTTGCGGTCTCCTTGCCTTGCATGACAAAGGCCGTGGTCAATCTCGCCGTGAATGCACTTCTCACCAATTTGCAAGCCTTCAAGTGCCATCACAATGTTATACACCTGACTGCCTTCTCTCTTCGGCGATGGTGTGACGGCCCGGCTTAAGAATCTTTTCTGTACATCCATGGGCGATAGCAACTCTACGCTGAGGTTCCGGCGGGTCTCACGAGCATCTTTGCTACCATCACGATCATCATGCCCGCTTGTGCCTTCAATCTCAGTACTCGAGGGTGTAGCGTTCAAATTATTAATGACCTCAGAGTCAATCGATCGATCCGTTCCACCTTTCGACTCAGACGACATTTTCAATTCCCTTTCACTCTCATTCACTGTAGGCCCAACTTCTATAGTCTCTATACCTACAATAAGTTCAGAAGGAGCCTCATATTCAAGACTAGGAAGCTTAATATCTGCGACTACATCCTCCACAGACTCTCTCAAAGGCGTTGAATCCTCAACATCTTCAGTAGGCTTTGGGTCCACTGCCTCTCTAACAGGTTCTGATTCCACGGCCTCATCACCAAATTCTGATTCTGAGCTCTTTACAACCACAGCCTCTGGATTCTCAGCATCCTGTGCAGGTTCTGATGTGGAAAATCCTTCATTTTCAGCTCCTTCCGCAGGCTCTAGGGATGCAAACTCTTCGGCAGACCCGGAATTCACGTTATTTTCTGAAATGCCGGTGACATCACATTCATCCTGTCCATGAATTCCGCTCTCCGTCTCTGAAATAACTACATTATATCCCTTGTTATCAAACCCTTTTGAGCTGTCCATCAAGTCTTCTCCAGTGGCAGCTGCGGCGTTTCCTCCACTCTCTTCGCCGGTCCTTTCCTCCTCCATCACAAGATCGACAGATATTTCCTCCTTTTCGGTCTCTTCAGACATTTTCTCTTCTCTATTCTCAATCTCCTCGAGCGACTTCTCGTCCCCGTTTTCAATCTCTTCAGACATCTTCTCTTCCTCGTTTTCATTCTCTCCGGGCGACACATTTCCCCCATTCTCGATCCCCTCGGTCGACTTCACTTCCCCCTTACCAATCTCCTCGGGAGACTTCATTTCCTCGCTTTCAATCTCTTCGGGTGACATCGCTTCCTCCGCCAGTGCTCCCTCTTCAGCTACTCCAGAAACTTGATGGACAGGCATTTCACTACCAGTATCGCCACCACCATTGACCCTCGCTGGTTCCGCATACATCATTTCTGGCACGCTCACCTCTTCAATGAACTTCTCCATCTCCACGTCGTTGTGAGATCCACTTCTATACTCTGAAACAACTTCCTCTCCCTCCCTGTGAGATCGAGCCCCTTCACGATCGACGTCTGAGTTCGTGTCACTTGAATCTGAACTACTTGAGCTGCTGCTGCTGCTACTGCTGCTACTACTAGATTTGTGCTTAGAAGATTCCTTTCTCCTCATGGGTTTTTTTCGCCTGGAGGATTTCTTGAGACGATGGCCGTCGTCACCATCGCTTTCCACGCTCACCTCCTTGACCAATTTACCCATTCCAGGGAAACCCTCCCTAGACTGCGAGGAAAGTTGATTAGTCCAATGCATTAAGGAGGTGCCATCCAACGATTGACGACTGTACCAAATTCTACCTCGTACAATTCAAGAACGATACACATGGAGTCTACGGAGTGATTATCTTGTCATCTTTCATACACAGTCCCGTGCCTCTTGTACATCCCGTCTCACCAAGCCATAGTTCAAAGGTAAATATACAGACAATGAACTATCCAAATCCATGATTCGAGAAACGTGACCAGAACCTACACCCCGACTGAGATATACAACCATCAGTTGCAAGCCTCGAATCAGAATCTGAGACAAAACCTGAATCACCAGTCGATGAGAGGTAAAGCACTGTTGGCAATACTCATAACTAATTCCAGAGAATTGCTTTCTACTTCCAATCGACTAAACTGAAAGTAGTCTAGAGATCATATAAACACCAGCAACGAAATACATCGCAAGAAGGAAAGCGAAGGAAGAGGTACAACGTAAGAGACTCTGAAATGGCAGATCAAGCCCGAGCGGTCTCTCCATAAATCACTCTACCACCTCCACGAAGAGATCTCAGTCTCCACAGGATTTCTTTCCCAGTGATCACAACCAAAAGTTCCAACTAGTTTTCTTCGAAACTCACCATGAAAAGGCCACAACTCTTCCTGTATTCCTCTCCCAACAAATACACAGCGCAGTCGAAGAACCGCACACATGAGCTATGACTAGCTTGGATCAATCCTCGCCAAGCCGGCACGAGTCATCAATGCCTGCATCTACTACCAACTCGACCAAACAAACCACAGTCTACTCACTTCCGAATTGCGCGGATCAAGCTCCGAAACACAAAACGCCAGAACCGGGGAATCAACACAACCACACCATCGCCAACATCAACCGATACTAACCTGCATCCAATGCGCACTGCTCCCCTGTCCACTTGAAAAGCCTACAGCACTCCTGGACAGACGGTCAGCAGCATTGTGCAGCAGAAACCAGTTATGCTACCGCCCGGACGCTGCAACACAAAATCGCAGTCCCCGCCAGACGGTGTGAAAGTCGCAGAGGAAGTACACAGCCGAGAGGAGTACAACGTGGCGAGAGAAAGAGAGAGGGAGGGAGAAAGAGAGTGAGAGGGAGAGAGGGGGGGGAGAGAGGTAGCGAGCCAGAAAGAGCAGCAGATGCAGAGTGAAGAGAAACGAAAGCAGTAAGATTTGGTCATGCAATAGAAGGTGGATGGATTGACAGGACCGCAATGTGGATGGCACAACGGCGGCGACGGACATCCAGGTCACAAGGAGTTGGCTCAGAACGGACGGAATTCCTCTCAAGCTTTGCGGGCTTTGTGGTGCGCCACAGACACTCCCTGCTGCAGATGAAGCTGCTCCACCTCCGTCGTCTTCTCCCCCCAAAACCCCACCCCACAGCACCACCACAGCGCCAATGCCACGACGTGTGTGAAAAGGGGCAAAATTCCACTTCGCCGCGAGCGCCCGTCAGAGACTGAAAGAGAATTCGAAATCAAAGCCAATGCCATCAGATACTCACTCAAGAGCGGTCCCACCCGCAAAGGCCACGGACAAACATATAATCCAGTAAAGCAAAGAATGCATGGAGGGATGAATATATAGATCTGTTTCGATTTTTGAGGAAGAAGTGGAAGCGCGCTCCGTCGGTTTGTCACTATCAGAGCTTTCAAAGGCTCAGGAAAAAGAAAAAGACGTTCCGTTATGCGTTTTCGTTTTGCTTTTTTCCATAAGTGCACTTTCAGCTATTTCTGGCTTTTTGAAATTCGTTGGAAGGAGAATGGGGATATTCATCCATTTTTATTCATCTGACTTGCTTTCTCATTCATTCTCCCCTGTTTCCTTCTTCCATACATTCCTTGCACCTACTTTCTCCGTCTTTTTCTTCAGTTCTTTTTCTGTTTATTTGTTTCTTTTTGTTTTGTACCTTGGTTTTCATACCGAATTGATTATTAGTGCTCCAACAGTATGCTTTGTCCAACAACCCCAAACCAAAGGGTGGGCTGCACGGTTCATAACTTTGTCAAGGGTTCAGATGATTTTTCCTGTAGGCAAAGGTGTCCGACTTGACTAGTGCAGTATACATCCCTGTTTGTGTGTGTATGTGCATATATTACATTAATATTATTTAATTTTTTGTTCATTCATTTATTTACTGGATGAACAACTTTATCAAAAATCAAGTATGAAAATTAAAATATAAAATAAAAGACTCTACATCCCCAAAAGTTTGAATGACATCACTGTACTTCCCAAGTCCCAGCCTTTGAATGGCAATTGACATTTTTAAACAATTGAAAACTCCAAAGTAAAGGTTTTCTGAATCACCATTTATCCAAAAATCTCAAATTTCACCTCACATGCCAACGATCCTTAATAAAAATAAAAATAAAAGCTTGTACAAGCATCAAAACAAGGCCATTGATTTTATTATGATTATTTACTTAGATTAATTTCTTGTGGTTGTTATTATTGTTTCCTTCACTGTTTTGCCATTTTTTGTTTTTAACCATGTTGAAGCCAAATCTTCCATGTGCAGTGAAGGTTCTCAGACAAAAAATCTTGAAACAGTGGGCTCATTCAGGTGGGTTTTGGTTTTGTAACAAAGGTAAGCAAGGTGCTACCCATCCCTGTGCTGCATGAGGACAAAGCCCAGGCATCCAAAAAACTCATCCCCATTGTCCAGGATCTTAAGAACAGCAAAAGTCAACTAAAAGGCATCACACAGGCAGACTCCACCCATGTGACAGTCTCCACTATAAGTTAGATTGTGTAACCAAAATTCCTCTCACTGAGGCTATGCTTGCTTTTGTCCTCTCAAGTGCAGTGTGGCTTACACCTGCCTGGGCTGCCTGTCCACTGTGTGCGCTGGTGCGGGCTCATGCAGCCCAGACCCCTGAAGCTGCCCCAAACCCACCCACTACAGTGGGGGCAGGAGTGGCAAAAACATTAATGCCAGTGGCCAACTTGTGGAGGAATGGATGCTTTGATCATAATGGAAGTGGTAGAGCATGAGTCTCATGGTAGATTGCTCTGTGGTTGCAGTGTTCCCAAGTGGCATTGTGCATTGAGCCCTTTGATAGTACAAAGTTAAAAGGACAGAAAAAGTTGGGTTATGAAGCAATGAAAAGTGTGTGTTAATGAGTGTAAGTGTTCACCATTCAGTTGTCTAATCATATGTTTTCTAGCTCCTTCAGATGAGGATATTGACCCCATGGTATGAGTTGGCAATATCCCTGGAATCAAGGGGGGGGGGGGCTGAAGCACAGTAAAGAGCTACAACCAATGTTCCAGAGGGGACCATCTGTTTAAGATGCTGTCCACCTGGCAGTACACAAGATTCAGGTGGGAATTGACACCACAGCCTTTGAAATGAAGCATGCATGATTGACACTGAGAAGCATTGATATCTTCTCAAAATTCACATAAAAATGCAAATTTTAAATAATTAAAGGACTTGGAGTTTGTGAGGGTTGGGTTTTTTGAATTCGATTGAAATTTCCAGTGTGTTTCAATTCATTCAGTAGAATGAGTTGGGGCTTACAAAGTTAAGCCAGTGGTGCAAACCAAACAATATATGGTGTAGTACTATAGAAGGACCAAAATCTGAATATTATGTATACATGTGCCTTTCATATGCATTTTCCAACTGGTGCTTGTGTGAAATTAAATAAAACTTTCAAACAACAAACATAAATAATAATTCCTAGCTACTCTAACATTACAGTCAGTTGAGTGCTGTTTTAGACATGAAAGGACATTCAGTGTTCACATTGTGGATGGGTGTTTAATTTCTGTGTAAATGTTCATTCTGTTTTGATCAATATATTTTTTTTTTGGAATAAGCTTGTGCTTAAGGAGCCAACATGGAAAGAACACATCCATTTGATCAAACATAATCCTTTCAAAGTAATGGTGCATGGAATGATTTCACAACAATTTGAGAATGCTACATCCAAGTACTCGCATCTCATTTAAAAACATTCCAGTGAAGACAATCCATTTCATTGTTTTATCATAATAACGCATTGACTTCCACAACCTGGTGGTGTCATTTGCAACACTGGTGAAGTGTGAAGTATACAAGTATGTGGAATTATGTTGTTTTTGTTTTTGTTTTTTTTTTTTTGTTATCAAATTATGCTGCAAACTTATAATAAACCATGTGTCGAGGATAGTAGTATGTGGACCTTTAACCTCTCAACCAAAATAACTTGACAACCCATCAAGTACAAAAAAACACACACATACAAAGGTTTATTTTTAGCCCATGAATTCCCATAAACTTGAAATGGACCAGCAGATTGGGGACGCAGCGATGGAGTACAGAGAGGATTGCAAGTCCCAGGGGGCAAAATTAAACCAAGAGACTGCGGTGCCAGAAGGGTCCCACTCCGTTTTTAAAATACCCACCCCACGGAATTGGAGGGTACGGCCATAGGCTTCGCGGAAATAGGGTGTTTCGGAGATCACAAGTGGGTCGCCATGAGATCAACGTGGAGAGTGCCAGCTCACCATGCAGATCCCATGGGTCCCGTTCGGCTAATTTGGGAGGGCAAGGTGATGCTTGCCTTTGGAATCCAGGAGAATCTATTCGATCCTGTGGAATCTTTTCGGTGGAGGCGTAGCGCTACCAGGATCCCCTCACCACCACGCCACGTAGGATGCACCGAAATACGAATGAACCTAATGTAATAACTCTGTTTCTTATTAATTCATGGGATGAGGAAGAATATGTTTACTATTTCATTAATTTTGGTTGATCGAACGTATATTGCTTCAATTTTGATCAAAACCAAATTTACATGGTCTTTGTAAGTTTTCATGAGATAAAATGGCAGCTTTGTATTTGTGTTTGCATATATATATATATATATATATAAATAGACCTGTGCTTTTACAAAATCAACCCACCCTTGATGAAGAACATGGTAATAATGGTGAATGTGGTTGGTTTGCATTGGTTGCAGCTCTAATAGTGGAGAAATGAATCTAGAGGTCATTTCTTTTCTTTTCTTTTCATGATGGTTACAATGGGCAGGTAAATTTAGTAAAAACCTTGGTCTATTTAGCATTCATATATATATATATATATATATATTCATGTACATATTCATATGTAATGTGTGCGTTTTTTTTTTTTTTTTTTTTTTTTTCCCCCCCTTTTTACAATAAGATGTTTCTCAATACTTCATGTCATTGAAGTAATAATAATTTATCTTTTCCTCATTCAATTTTTGCTCTGTATCAGACATTGCTTGTTTACACTTCTAAGATTCTTAATGTATTCTCTTTCTGTTTCATATTGTAACTATTTTTCTACAACTACAATTACTGTCCCAACAATTGGGTTTGCCTTTGGTTACAACGTAGTTTGATTAAAAAAACAAAACAAAACAAAACAAACAGAAAACACTCTTGAACAAAGTTTAGTCCAAAATATCAGTAGTTATTTACAAATCAAGACCTTCAATCTTTCCTCCCGTTAAACTTCCGAATTAAATCTCATGTCACAATCGACCAAAATTCAACACAAAAAAACATTATCCACCCATTTGTTCAAAAACACGACCCATCACTGAACATCAATGAAGCTCCCATCTTGACAAAAACCCATCTTCTACCCACATTTGTGAACAAGTAACTCCAACTTGACCCACCCATTCTTAGTAACATTTCCACCACTTCCATCACTCTTTTCCAAATCTTAGCGAATATCACAAACAGTTCACGGATCAAATCATACAAAAAATCCTGCAATCTTTTGTGATGAAAAATTGATTTTCACAAATTACTTTTAAATCTGAGTTTGTGTGCATCAGATTCTAGCACGAGAGCTTGCAGCCTTGGGGATGGAGAATGCCACCACAAATGGTGAGGTCTTTTCGATTAGACCCACATTTAGAATACCAAATGTTTGCTTCTGTTGAGGTTCTTTTTGATCTGGTTTCTACTACGAAAAAACACGTACGGACAGTGCGGAATGCATGAAGAATTGCATGCTTTTGTAGCTGGATAGATTGTTGAAGAAGTTGATGTTTGAGAGAGATTGTTACGGTTGGGGTTGTGGACATGGAGGTAAACATGTGGGTGACTTCTAGCTACTGTTGATTAATCGATGAATATGAGCAGGATTTGCAACTCACAGAACAAGCGATTATTTCCCCAAAAGCGCTCTCGCTATGAATTATTTGGGGATAATCTCCTGCGTTCCCTTACGAGCTTTTGTTCATTACCGACAACTGTTCTTGCATCTCAGAGATCTACAGTATTCACACCTAACAAAACAGTAAATCTACCAACGTAGTTGAGGATTTTTTAATGGGAAATCAACGTCTGTTCTGTAGACAGAGCTTCATTACTTTCATGCTTTCAATAGAACTGTTTCTATTCAATGTCTTTGGGTGAGCCGATAAGAAAAACTTTTAAGCCGTTATTACTGCTCACCTGCTTGCACTATGCTCTCAGGTTCTTTGACATCTCGGATACTGAATTTGTAGCCGGAGCAGTTGGTCTCATACAGACGAAACACATAGTAGTCGTGTTTTTATTCACAAAAGCACAAGGTCAACAGACATGGGCACAGGTTGTGCGCAAGAGTTGGAGTTCTCGTCTGAATGTTCCTACATTTCTCGTTGAACTACTTTACCTCATTTGCATTGTTCGAAGACAAGGATTCCCGAGATCAATAGGCGCAGCTGACGATTTTTTATCTTTGGAGTTTGTTTCCTGTTGCGGCCTTGAATTCGATACAGCTGAATCAATCGTGTCCGGAGCTGATCACAAACTTCCTCCCGTTCGGAAGTTGTGTGGGCCGTGCATTGGGTTTCTGCAGGTCGAAAAGTTTCAGGGGTAGAAGCAGAATTCCATGTTGAAGTAATGCATGCTTTCTTCGACGATTTCCGGCAAGCTTCTCTACTCAGATACGAATCCACTTCAAAAGTTTAACGCGCAACCATGGCTAATACAACGCTGAAATCATGGAGCTAGGTGGGCGAATAACATACCAAAATGGCTTGGAGTTTTTTCATCTGCGCCTGTGAAACTGTGGGGAACTGCGTCATGTGCGCCACAACACCGACACAATGGATCAATGGTTTGCAAGAACTTCTATAGCCCCTTCCTCAGCAAGCAATGAATTATAAGGATTGTGTATGTTGAGTGCCAATCGTCGTGGATCCTCCAGTAACAATATGGAGAAAATAGCACCCAACTGACGGTTGACAAAATTTGGAAACCCAAAGCATGCAGAAACTGTGAAACTTTGGGCACTGAATCTCACGTTCCATAGCAAGACTGTCCACACGACGTTCTCTGTGCAGGGCGGGGTGGTGAGAGAGCCTGTGTACCGGCCGTAATGCTCTGCATGGATCGGCAGCAGCTTGATTGGGGATGCAAGTGGGTACTCTTCTTTGTATGCTGGCAGGTTGTTGATGAACTACGCAACCATGTGATAGATTCTATCAGAGACTGGTGTTATACTACCAAGCCTTAATTCGTAAGATTATCGTTCATTCCAGTTTGCCAGATGAGGGATGTATTCAGTACCTGATCGAAGAAAGGACTGACTGGTCCCAGAGTGATGAGCCATGCGACCACCGCAATCTTGCCAGCCGCTGAAATCAGCACCAGATGAGCCTCCAAAGCAAACCTGTGTGAAGTTAAGAGGGATCAGAAGCCGGTCCCGACATACCGAACAGTTTACCGAAGTCCCAGTCGTGGTTGTCAGGGGTGTGACTCTTTGAGTGATCAATTCGTTGTCTATTCTTGAGATGAAAATTTGTTTGAGCTTGTGATGATGGATAGATATACAATAGGGAGTATACTATAGTACTTACTTGTACTTCACAAATGTGTGCTCGCTTGGGCAGTGGAAGTGCATCTGTGTGCTTCGGTACTTCTCCCCCTTGATACTGAGCTCGACGGAACCATCGGGAATTTTCAGCTGCCATGGTCGGAAAGATTGGTTCTCTTGAGTTCAGAAAAAAATACAGCAATATCATCAAGTTTCTACTGGCAGCAAATCCATCAGATGAACGTAGTGAGGTGAATTAAGCCATTTAAAGTCGGCCGCCGTCATGATCTCCCAGCAGGAATTAGTGGTGTCTGGTTGAGAAGAAATTACCGCGACTGAGTGGCCATTATTAGATATGTTGGCAGGAACGGCGTGGTGGGGATAATCCACTTCCAGGTCCTTGAATTTCTTGCTGGTGACAATTATCTGGGGGATGATGGCAATCGGGGACTGCACCATGCCATCTGAGCAAGTTCTCCAAGAGGTATTCAAACATCCCCAGCTGGCTGGACCGTGCGGCCCATCGGTGTAGTCGAACTCTAAAAGCAATCGAAAAAACAATCCATCAAAAATCGAAGGGCATAAATTGTAAACAAGCGCTCTTCTCCGGTTGATGCTTTAAATTTGGCAGGATACTCTACGTGAATCCCTACAATGCAGAGAACTCAAAAGTACACATGGGTCACTTTCCCTCAATAACGTCAGAACTAGATACAAAGGCTGCGGTCGACTGCAGATCTCACCTTGAGCCAGCACTCTCACGAAGCTCTCACCAATTTGAAAGCTGAGCGGGCCACAAATGGCCCACACTATTGTCAATATAGCAACCGATCGAGCCATTTGCACAAGTGGCGGCCAATAAATCGAGTCTACGAGGAGCCTTGGAAGTCGCCCGTCGTACTCAACTGAAAGTCGTCAACGTTCATGGATTCCAAAGGAGAGAGGCAATCGATTGTGAGAGCCAATCTCAGGCATCGTTGATTGCTGTTAATTTATGCATGGCAGGTTGAAGGCAGGCCGAGTACCATTTTTCGACGAAGCTGCATCAAAGGAATTCATCGACATGGTGAGGTGTACACGAATATGGTCTCGGATGCTAGGAATATGACTATGAATTTGTGCTCTTTCAGAACCGAGATATTTGGACAGTATATATATATTTTGTAGGGACGGTTATTCACAAAAGACTTGTTTGCAGTCAAGTAACACAAGGTTACATCAAGCATTTGTCAGGCACTGGGAGGGGAAAAAAATTGTTTTAAGGATCACCATATCAGATGTTTCGCTTTTTCAGGCTAAGCTTTGGTACATGGGAATTCGGAAAGTTTATTGTTTGCCAAAATTCAGAGGATTTCACCCCAATTTAAAACAAATATCACACATGTATCAACAGTCACTAGGAAGCAAAATGGGTGATTTTGCTGTATCCGCGCTCCCAGCGTGAGTCGACAAATGAATCGCAGCATGTAGTCATTCACGTTGATTCATGGATCACGTGTCATGAACAGGATAAATGAAGAGTTTAAGAATCAACTTCACCTCCCACTAGCACCGAATTTTGCAACTTGTTACAATACAATCCTCCGCTCTACTAGAAACAACATAACGTGCGGTAGTTGTGAGCAGCCACTATTGGATGAGATCAATCACTCCATCTGGACATACACCCTGTTCGCCTGCTTACAAAGTCCAACATCTTGCAGTTAGAGTTGGTACCGACCCACATATCACACACATGATTGATAAACGACGTCGACTGCTAGGTGATGTAACCACGCAGAATCAGTCACGAGCACAATAGTTGTTCTCAAGCACCGATCTGACGTAGACCGAGATCTAGATCACGAGTTTCGCAACGACTTGGCAGCACACCGACAGACCCAACCTCCTTTTTTATGCGTTGCAATATGGGCTAACATGCTGGAATGCGTGCGAGCTCACACGCAGCATTCTAGTCAAATCACAACATGAAACTGGACTCATGGGTGATGAGTCTGCTCATTTGTGTTGTTGTTCTTGTCCTGATTATTCCCAAAGTCTTATGCTCTCGCTTCGTGTAATGTGGGAGGAATAGAAAATATGCGGTACATCTGGAGTTTAGTGTGTTTAGAAATCTCTCTTTATTTTTTTTCTTTTTTTGATCTGGAAGTATTAAATTTTTATTGATATAAATGGGTAGTGATTGTTGGACACGATTGGATTCTATAAGATTAGCTTGCCAGGTGCTCACATTCTGATTGCAGTCTGAGACACGAGTGATTGACTCTGGTGATCACTTTTGTTATTTCAAATAAAAATAAAAGTGTGTTGCAAAAAAATGAATTACTTTGGAAAATATTTATTGAATTCTATTTTGACGGATTTTAACTCAAATGTTATGCATATCATCTCTATATGATTTCTTTAAATTCTTCTGTTCATTCAGCCATTCAAGAAAGGGAAGTTTACCAACTTGACATAAATACAACATTTCTGCACAATGAAGTTTTAAAAGACATTTATATGCAACTACATGAAAGCTAAATCCATTTACGCTTTGGAAACCAGACGTGTAAATGTTAAAGCAGTCTTTCAAGTTTAAAACAAGCTTTTGAGTTTAAGTGTCAAAATTGCCTATTTTCACCAGATTTCACTCTAATAAAAACCACGCCTATTGACTGCATACATATACTCATTGTTCTTCTTTAATGACGATGCCCTACCATTTTCAGTAATATTCAGCTATTAAATATAATATAAACATCCAACCTATAAATGGGAGCACTGGAATACTACATTATAGTACATCAGCTCCAAGTTAAGATTATGACAAACCACATCGAATGACACATAAGTGATTAGTTATCAAGCGATGGATTACACAACCTAATGAACAGAGGCTAAAAAATAAATCGACAGACATCGATACAAATTGACTTGACAAAAACAACTTGAAGAGATTATATGCAGGAAGACGCAACCATAGTTGCGAGCTAAATGTTGATATACGAAACAAAATGTTGAAATACGAAGCGTATCAACAAAGAATCCTGCCTCTCTTTATATTCCTGCAGTAACGATTTCAACGATGACAATAAGCATGAAAATTGAGTTAAACTGTCAGGAGTCATGTGTTGGTGCTATCTAAGAACCTTGTCCTGTCAGACTATCAGTCCATCTACTCTGCCGAAAATAAGCTTGACGATGCTGATAACAGTGAACAGAGAGATGCAAACCTTGAGCTGATACAATGATGAACCAGTCTCAGGAGGCTCTGAAATCCCTGCAAGTCTGATCAAAGGCCCAGAGCGGTGAACCTGTGTTGATTTGTTGTCAGAATGTGTGAATCTGTAGAGGAATTGAAAAAGTCAATGTTGAGCCGGTTTTGCTGCTGCTATGCGTCATTCTTCTCATCAGAAACAATGGTAGAAGATCTGTCTTCGATCAGTAAGCCTTTCTCCTCGTCCGTGTCGGTGCTTGGAGGGGTTGATGCAACGGGAGCTGGAACAGATGGTGATTTCTTTGTGGTGGACTGCTGGTACAGGATGCCACCAACAATGGTGATGAGGAGAGATCCGAGACCTAAGTTGGAAGCGTGCTTGTCCCAGATCATGACATTGATGACCACGGTGAGGAGCTTGTTCACCACGCCGGTGACTGTGAATGCCGTTGCGGAGATTGCCTTGCGAGCCGCGAAACCGAAGAAGCTGATCGCCACACCGAAAAGGCAGCTCACCCCCACGGCGAAGAAGCTTATGAGGCCGTCCTCCAGAGCAGGCCCTCCCACCATGAACATCTTGTACTCGCCCATGAGGACCCAGAAGATGGGCGACAGCAGAAGGGAAATCAAGTTGTTGTAGAAAACAAAACCCCAGGTGTTGAGCTCAATATCCGTCACCATCTTCTTCACGTACACCATCTCCGTGCAAATAACCACGAGGTAAATAACCGCCCATGAATATGCGGTGACGCTGAATTGGGAATCCGTGGCGACGTAACCCACAGCGCCTCCCAAAATCACCAAGAGCGAGGCGAATGTCCATTTAGAAGGTAAGGGTTGTTTTCGGAAAACCGTGTCAGCAATGGCGACCAGCAATGGTGTGGTGGACCGGAACACGATAAATGTGTCCACATTCGCATGCTTTAGAAGATTTGTATTGGCGAAAATGGCAAGGTAGAAAACGAGCGCGGCGGGGAAGAATTTCCTCGCCGTGTCCCAGACAAATTTATTGTGGGTGATCACGCCTGACCACCCTGCTACCACTACGCCCACCACGGACGTAAGGTACTGCAGGGCCGTCAGGAGAGCGGGGTAAGGAAAATAGGTTATGGCGTACTTGTTAATCACGGCGAGCAGGCTAGAGCAGATCGCGTAGCCGACAACCACTGTCAAGGTCGCCGAGCTCACACCTACAATAGTCCCCAACGGTTTCGACATCTTGAAACTTTCCACCCAATCTTGCGCAAAGTGCTCTCCACCCAGGAACAATTACAACACTCGTGACAAAAAACTCTATGGTTTCACAAAACTACTAAATCACGACATGCGAATACAGCTCACTGGGAATTCCAAAAACCAACGTCAGGTCGCAATTTCGCAACCCCTGCACCATCCAAGTGCATCTAACAACCTTCAGCTCCGTCCTCTTCCTCAAACAACCTCCTAATTCTCAAGAGCTTCATCAATCTTTCGCAATTCGTCTCAGCCCTTCTCGTTCATCGTCACCACCTCCTCTACTCACGCGGCAAAAAAAATACCCAATCTCTGCATGACTCAACTTCGATCAAACCTCGATCACGGAAGGGCGAACAACGTGAGATGATCGAGGTTTCCCGCAACTGCAACAGCCGTTTGCGAAGCAGCTGTAGAATCTCCAGACGTGCAGCTCAGGTTCTGGCGACGGGCCACAATTGCACGTATGGCCGAATTTCCGGTCAGAATTGGGCACATAAATCATGTACACGGTGAAGCGAGTTAAAAAAATTGGTACCCACTTGCAGATCTGCGCAGATTCGTGAGGCGCCATTAAGAATTTCCCACTGCGAGTGGGCTCGTAGGGAGCCGCCGTGGGCTCGCTAGGGCGGATACCGCCACGCTCCCTTCACTGTTCCCCACGTCGACTCTCGGGAACACGTTTTTCATTAGCTGTTGATTCATTATTTTTCATTTGCCATTCTGTTCGGATTTGGTACCATCCACCGTGGCAATCAAAGTTCGTAACATATGAAATGATTTCATAAAGGAATGTGGCGTTTTTGAAAAGGAAAAAAGTGCAATTCATGGTGATATTGTAATTGGTTTCACCAACGTGTACAGTTTTGGTTAGACGTGTGCTTATTTTATTATTTTTTAAATATTTTTTAATGTCAGTATTTCTGAGGTTGTAAAGATATAGATAGATATACAGATATTTGTGTATATATTCATGTGATGTAAATTCCCATTTACTGTTGCTCATGAAGGGTATTATAATGTGCATGTCGCGTACTTGTAAAGTATGAACATGCCAGAGTTTATAAAAGTGTTGTGGAGTACGATTACAATTGACGTGTATTTGTTTTTGCAGAATATGAACATATATATATATATATATAGATATACATTTATTTACTCATATTTGTTAAAACAATTGTGTTACAATTTTTCGATGCAAATGAGATAATTTATAACATTAGATACGTGTATGCACTGTTTTTCATACTGTTGGTAGGAGGAATATGAAGCATTTTTTTGGTGGAAATTCTCACTTCACAAATCAATTTTTTTAATTTGTTATATATATATATATATATATATATATAGACACACACACATACTCAGAGTTCAAGATAAATTTGACAAAAGGCTCTTAACATGAAGCTTTGATACAAACAAAACAATTAATGAAAAAGCATACCAATTTGTTAAAAATCAATATCTTCTCTTGCAAATCAAGTCGGTGAGAAGCTAGAATGACTAGTACATGGATCCAAAAAAATTAAATTATTGACACATAAATTATTGATCTTTAATTCAAAACAGAAGTGTATGACAATAACAACATACACATATAATTCATTTCATCCTATTGGTAGTTTGAGTGGATTATTACCCTACTTGTTGGTAATTCAAGCCAATAATCCTAAATAAAACACAGTAACATTATATATATATATATATATATATATTTACATATATCCATTTTAAAATTTTCGTATATCAATGAAAAATATTCAATTTCGTTACTTGATCAATTCCACTTAAATTATACTATTAAAAATATAAGAATTAACATAGAATAATAAAAGTTTGTCATCAAAGGTAAACAATTAATCTTCAAAATCTTCTCGAATATATACCCAAGAAATTTGTAACTTTGCTTACTTAGAATACAAAAATCAGGATTGAATGATTAAATTTCATGAATGTGATAGAAGATTTCAAGAATGTTTTTTCTACATTTATTTTGGAAATGACACCAAAATCCAATGCAATCGTTTGATCTCATGTGTGAATGTGTTGGAAACAAGCCATGTTGCAACGTAAGATGTAAAAACACAAATTGGAATGTGTTCCAGTAAACTTAGGCCACTGAGCAGGACGACAATATTACAACAAAAAAATCCCCAAAACTTAGAAACATTTCCACATTATAAGATGTTGATTTATATATATCTATAGATATATCTAGATTTATACACATATACATAATGAAAGAGAGAAATATTCAGAGGCAGAGACTTGATCTGTGTATTCAGAGACACATTGCCAATACCAGAGAACAATAAGAATATACTTGCACCATGTTATCACTGTATTAGTTATTAAGAAAATTTATTAAGTATTAGTGCTAAGAAATTTTTCAACATGAACAAAATGTAGGAACTGGACTAGAATCACAATCTTCCTCAGGTATCATACACTGCAGGATAGAAACTCGTTGGATTTCATTTATGACATGCCCGACCAATAGTGTTAAAGCACAGTAAAGTTGACAAAGATTTATTTCCTACTTAAGTATTTCAAGTTAACATTCCGCAAAAACATAATACAATATTCCGAAGTAGTTCAGAGTATTCAGCTAACTAATAAGTTGTATCGTTGGGACACCTTCCTAGGGCAGCCGAGACTGATTTCCCTGCACACGTGATTTCCAAGGAAATCTTGAGACACTACATGCTTTTGAAATCATTATGAGGGAGCTTACGGATAAGTAGTCAAACAGAGCGTGACAACTGAAACATAGCTTTTGCATTCGCTAAACTAGAAATTGTCATTAACGTAAGAATGGATCGTCCCTACAAAGCTTCTCAGGAGAATATTATTCCAAATAAACAAATGCCTCCAACTGCTATGCAACACAGTACTTTTTCCACGATCCGATAAACTCGATAAGAGGTTAGTACGACGTTGTATATAACAGGTTGATTAAAAGCATCTACTTCAGCCAATTTCAGTCTTTGGTTAACCGGGCAGAGCGCAGCAGACCAGGTACGTGAAGGATGATTGGTACGTGAAGGATGACAAGCTCCTTTTTAGAAGGCAGGGCGCTGGAATGAGGATTCTGGTACAAGTAGATGGGAGTAACTAAAACTCAATCTGGTAGAAGAGAAGATCACCAAGCGTGTGACGTACCATGCACATTGGTACCTAGAACTGGTAAGCCTTGAACAGGCCTCCCTTTGGTCATAACTAAATGTTGATAATCAACGGGAACCCCTGCCATCCCCAACCTGTTGTCTAGGTGTTGATAATTTGGCACTCCAGACAAACCCATACTAGTCATATTCAGACGAGCATACTCCACAGCTGGGTTGAGCCCCGGTTCGGCTTTCACACGTCCCATTTGTATCGCTTGAACAGGTGCAGCGTTCTTATCATCCTTGTCCCTCTGATCTGCAGACTATATCCAGAAAGTTCCATGTCCAACAAACAACACAACTAGTCAGTATTGCTGTTAAATTCTGGTCGAACTTCTCGTGTGACACTGCAAGTATATGAAACATACAGCAGAAGCTCAATTCACGTGCAGAACAATCGTTACACCTTTTTCTGGTTGAACCCTGAGAGTTGACATGTCTGCAGATCAGAAGACTGATCTGCTGGAAGAGTAAGAGCAGGCAAAACTTGGCCACCCAACTCTCCTGAAAGTCTATCTGGACTGTTCCCTCTGTTACCAGCACGACGACTGCATGCATCGGAGAATAAAGACCCCAGAACAGCACGCATACAGTGGTCTGGCCTGTGACAGTATTCCTTTGTAGCCAATGGCAAAGGATTTGCAACTGCAACTGCAAAACCAATTCATCAAGATGAAATGCGGCATTTCTGGTCAAGATTCTGAACATTTGTAAAACCGGACGACAAAAACTAACTTATGGCAAAATCCTTCCAAATTGCTACAACTTCACAACAGCAACAAACAAATGCATCTGATAATCTGGTGAAATTATCCCTTGAACTACATGGTTAACTACTCCTGCCAACTTTCATTAGCATCGACCAAGAAACTATTTCACTATTCGGTACACGATAACACAGGATTGACTAGTGCTCTCTCATAAACTTTCCACGAGAAAGACAGATCTGGTGTGGTCGACCACTGCAGAAACTTCTACCAAAAGAAAAAGGCTTCACTTCAAGCGTGTATTAAGCACTACAACAACTTATACTCGTGACTTCAAACAGCCAGTGATTTGAATCAGTTTCTCTGGATTTGAAGGAACGACGACGAGGCTACATCTGGTAGCTATGCGCAAAGAACAACACAAAAAGTCCTCTGTTCCCTAATACTCCTAGACAGGTAGATATTTGCATCTGGCAGATACTAGGAAGATATCGATAGAATGGATAAAAATTAGAATCGGAGGAAGCTACAGCCATAACAAGGACCAAGCGTGGTTCACCATCAATTACAGAGCACCGATCGTGCTACCTAAGACGGGATAGGAGTTCAGAAGAATCTGATTACGTACATTCACGATCTCAAAAGTAGAGGGGTGACTCACCACAGGCTACCTACCCGTATTTTGTGATGCAGCAGCCAGTTTGTTGGCTTTGAATTCTCGTAGTAGGACATCGTAAGGACGTCGCCGTCCTGATACTGCTCGCTTACTTGTTTCAGAGTGCAATTTACCTGAAATGGGAGAATCAGTGATTAAGGCACTTCAAAATCCTCAAATTCCTCCGTTCTGTACATACATACTCCTTATCCTGCTGTGTAAAAAACTTATCAACTTAGGTGAGAAAAATGAAATTGTTGCAACAATGAACTTAAACAACTGAGAAGCTTACAGGAATATGTAAACAGTAGATACAACCACAAACTTATGATAGAGCGTAAGACATGATTGGCTATAATCTGTATCTGCAGCTTACTAATGCAAACCTAGTACTCCACAAGGTCGATTTACACGCAGACTTACAAGTTATGGATCGCCGACACATAATGCCAGTCTGAGGAATTAAAACTCCGCAAAGTGTATCCAGCTCCTCTGTAGTCAATCTGCACCCGAACATCTCAGATATGCTGGATAGAGAAAATTGGAATACCATTACTTACAACACTGTTACTGAAGAAAGCGTGTCAGCTGAATTATCATTAAATAGCTCTTGAAAGGCATTAATCCATCATAAAACCCTCGGCATCGAAAAAGAGATGAATTGCACAACTGGGAAAGTGAGTAAGATTGTGGACACAGTATCATCCCAATTTAAAGAATATATTCATGATCAGCTACTTAAACTGCGTTGCAAACTCGGTACTTAAATGACTGAAGCATAGACAACAATTCCAGAAAATATCAACAAAGAATAATAATAATACTAATAATAATAATGAAATTTATAAAAACTTTAAAAAAGCCGGTGATTTTCTTACAATTTTGGACGCTTTGGAAGAGGCTGGACAACCTCAGAATGAGTAGCTCCAACTGAAGCAACTCCAGCATCTATCACCATGTTCGGATAACAATGAGTACGCTATGAGATAGGTATAGCTCGCACTATTTCTGAAATTCAAGTTTAGTAGCGTCTAGGCCCAAAAAAATTCCAAGAATCATCCGTAGGGTTTACACTTCTTCCCGCTAAATGTTAACATACAGACGAGCCACAGTTACAATAGTAAACCATGAGGTAACGTGATCTGTGTCTAACTAGAAAACAGAAATTAGTAAAAGTGTATGACAATCAAACGGCTGTTCGTTGTAATCCACAACCATCCACAACAATCAGTGACTTCTATCTAGAGCTAGAAATGCCAAACAATCTCAGTAAAATCTCATTCATAAGCACTGATTTCAGTGATCTTTGGAATGTGTAAACAGCCAAAATGAGTCAAACCACTCAAATAACTACTTTAGACAAGGATAAAGCATAGACTTTCCTTCTAAGAACATTCAGCCCAAAAGGAGCAAGAAATATTAACTTCTTAAGGTACAGAACTAATTGTACCTCCTGGAGCAACAACTAATGACTTTCGTGGCCTTCCAACTTTGGGAGCAGCAACCACAGTTCCTTCTGAAATGTTCATAACTTCTGCAGAGGAAGAGTACCCAGAGTGTATCAACGAACTGAAAACAGATACCATGTCATGACAAACGTATACTAAAATTCAGCCACATTACAACCATCAAGAAGTTGTATCGAGCTAGGTACAGTACAGTGACATCAAGGTGCTCATCAACTAAAAGATTATCATTTAGAGGATGGGACACATAGCATACTCACAAAAAGACACAAAGAAACCAGCCAAATCAGAGTCAAAGCTCACGACTAGACCTATTAGATGACAAGAAGACTCCTGTAACAAAAGGAATGCAACGTAAGACCTAATCAGTCCTTCAATTCACAGAAGGCTGCCAACAGAGAAAAACTGCACTCGCCCATCATAACGGTCATACGACTTCACACAAAGTGTTGGTGTGTGAAGTTACGAAAAACTGCCACCCTCTTTTGTAACTAATCTACATTGCCTGGTTGGATTGTCAATGCTTTAAACAAGAAGCTTTTGAAATGGAAAGACCCTTCAAATTACGGGAAGACGTACTCTTTGTGCCTCGAGGATTGCTACTGTACACAGGAGGTTGATCTTCATAAGTGCCACCAGAAACACCAGCATTCTCTTGAATGTCATCATCTTCTGCGGACGGAAATCGTTCCATATCTCCTGCTCCAATGTCATCGTATCATAGCTAAGGATGCTAATAACATGGAATTGATAAAAACTCAAACCACAAGACCGTACAAGGTCATAAGACCACACAAGCGCAAAAGAATAAACGCTTCTGGGCACGAAGGCCCTACAAAGATCAAAAACCCATCTACCGTCGTAGTCTTTCCAGACCCCTATTTTGCTAACGCAGGCCAACTCAAAGTGGCAATACATAACACAAAATGTTTCATGCTATAGTGGGCAAGGCCAACAAAAATAGATTACTTCATAAAAGTTATCGAGGGAGAGATTATAGAAATGTGACAGGATACTATCTTGAGATGTCAACTTCATTCGTGCCTTGCGTGGCGGCTTCTTGTGACCAGCTCCACCATCTATATCAAGTGTGGAATCGTCTTGGGTGTTCAAGGACCTACATCTCTCTGATAAAGCAACATGATTCAACACCCAGAAGATGTGAATATCTGGGGTTTCAAAACACTATACATACTATTATCACTCTCCGGATATCTCAAGCAACTTGAGATATGTAATCATCTTGTAATTTCTATACTTCACGACGCCATTTAACTGAAAAAAATTAGATCTTCAGCGAAATTAAGCTCAAACATGACATTCCAACCATCCTACTCAAAAGCCAGTATTTCTTTGAATACAAAATTTCTAAATTCCACAGAAAACTAATCAATATTGAAGACCCCTAGTTCAAGGTTGAAGATACATCTACGGAGTCAAAACAATCTGAAATAGACTAACCAGCGTGTGCAGCAAACTGACTATCCTTGATGGGTTTCTTGCACATGTTACATGAAACCTACGAAGAATACAGAAGCCACCCATGCAGTAAAAATCAGGGAAACAGACTGGAACAGGAGAAATCTTAACAATAACAAGTGCAGCAAAGTAAGTTCTTGAATTCTGCACAGTTCGCATGAGCTGAATGTTTTTGAAGTGTTAGATTCGTTGGTTAAAATCGCTCTGTATCTAAATCTATTTGACAACCACATTTTAATTACCATGCTGCAAGATGGTTCTATTCGAAGATTTTTATTCTGGAAATACTTATAAAAGAAAAGCAACGTTCCAATATTCTTCATACAGTTCGATGACAGGTAGTGGAGTGCACAAGTCACCCCAAGAAGCTCAGTTTCATGGACCATACCAGATTCAATTCATCTGTAAGGGGCTCTCGATCAAATACATACATATCTGCCAAAGAGGACAAGTTGTAAGCAAAAGCTCTACAATTAGTGGACACCAATCAGCAATTAATAATGATTTTCTCCAGCATTTGCAGCTCAGTGGCAAATAGACTAACTCCATTCTTGCATGGCAAATAAGCACCAAAAACCCCCCACTTAAAAAGAATTCACGTTCCCAGTTAATACTGCTAAAAAAACGCCGATCTTTACGTTTCCGGATTTCAAATAGCTACAAACTGTTTGCAACAAAAACAATTATCGAGAAAACTTCATGATCTATATTTACCTTCTTCTTCGAGAAAACTTGGTTCATCAGCATCATCCATTTCCTTTTGCACAGCTATAATAGCGGCTCTTGCCTGGGCATCTTCCTCTGAAAAGAGACACGCTATAATTTCAAACGAAATAAAACGCATCGATAGGAGATTTAAAATTCTAAAAACGTCACTACCCGGAAAGGCTACGCTGGGAACGACAACATCCAATCCACACTATTCGAGTATGCTAGAGGATCACACAATACATTCGTAGATTTTCTTCCCATCATAAAAAGAAAATCAATATCCGCCGTGTGACTCAGGGAGCTGCACTCTAAAACAGAGTAACTTGTTTAAAACTGATATTTAGTTTACCTGCTGATAATTCTACAGAAGATCCGGCAGCACGAAGCTTAGCAATAGAGGACATTTGCCCTTTCGTAACTTCAAATGGAGTTGAGGGCAACCTGTAGTATAAAGTCCACGAAAAGCATGCATATTGCTAAATAAAATCACGGAGAGTTACAAGAGCTTATTGAAGCCCTCAAAATAATATTACCAAGGGAGACGCAAGCGGAAGTTAAGCTAGTAAAAGAAAACACTGTAGCGTGCGAGAAACAATTTACTGAAAGTCGGTCTTTACATTGAGAATTTGCTTGTGGGTACATAAGACCTGCTCCAGTGTGTGAACCCCACCAATCACGCGAGGTGATCAAGTTTAAGTGCCTGACAGCCAGAAACGAATTGAGTTTGTGAAGCTTAGTTGAGGACATGATTTGCTTTAACTCACTTTCTGAAGGTATAGACCTGGAGAACATACTAACATGACTATGAATATCTATCCGCAACATTCATTTCCGCATCAAGAAGAAAGGGAGCTACAAGAAGCTCATGAATGTTACACCAAGATACAGAGCGAAATAATAGAGATAAGTTTCCTACTGGCTACACGTGGTAACAAAATACTGTAAATTATCTACACACTGACAAAAATGTAGATAAAAAATATGCCGAGCGAAACTCATTGCAACTCAGAACAAGAACTACACTCAACGTATCAACAACCAACAAAAGGAACGAATAGCACACGAACAGAAAAAAGATATCATAGTACTTCATAGTTGTTCCTTGAGCGCACGCAATGTTCGATCTAAGAAAATGCATATAAATTGTACTCTTTAGAGAACTAGGTACAGTGAGAGGATCGGGAAGTAATCAAAAACTAAAGGAAAAGGAAAAACACAGGAAACTCAACTAGATCTTCGGTGCATAGTAGTAGGAACATAGCAAAATCCAGGTACACAGGATTCCACCACTCACTAACTAAAACCCTCAGTGTTTTAAACAAAGATAAATAAATAAATAAAGAATAACAGAAGAGCTCCGAAGAAGACAGAGGAACCTCGAGAACAAAATGATACTCCTAAACTTAATAACGTTCATGTCTCACAGAAGTCACACAGGCACGATGGCATGTCTGCTAGATAACAGTACCATTCCTTGTGCGAAACACGAGGAATCAAAAAGGTGATTCAGGTGTCGATGAAAACAGCACTACCTCATTCCCTCAAATGTAAGGCAGTTGCACTGCACCACAATTGCAGACAATGCCAAATCAGAGCATTAGACATTCGTAAAGATGAAGCCAAACCTTCCCAATACTTCATACGAGACAACAAGCACCGACCGTTATATATCCGATGGCATTTAATATCTAGAAATACATCGCGTGAGGTAGGCTGAAGAATCAAGCAAACTAATGCAGAGAACAAAGTCAAACAAGTGCTGCAATTATGTACGAAACATATTAGTGAATGCGACTAACATTTAGCTTCTCTTGTACAGCACTTTCGTACAGCTGCATAGACACCGCAAGAAAAAAGGGAAGGGAGAGGGATGGGGCTTCGCATGCAAGTAAATAATGTAAACACGGACAGGCCTAATAATCAATGCAGAACCGAATAGACTCAAAAGAGTCATTCCACATACAAACAAAGCTCCAAGCGTAAAGAACGCCATACATTCACTTTGAACCAGACTAATTAATCGGTGAAATTAACCTGATTATACTCAAACGAGAAAACTTCACAGCTTATTCAATAAAAAGATGTGTTGCGTATGATAATAACCACGGGTCAATAACGTCGAAAATATCAAACCAACCAAATAAGAGACACTCAATCATCAAATACTCGCATGTAAGCGAGTGATTTGAAGGACAATTCAAAAAGACAAATCAAAGGTGACGATGAAGCAAAAGAAAAAAGAGAAAAAAACTCAAATAGTGCTCTGAGCGATAAGAACGAGACAACCGACACATCGACCACGACTCCATTCAAACAACCTAGACGACAATCAATCCCACGGATGCATGTGGCTTCAAACACCATACTTGAGCAGCGTGAAACTATTGCGAACCGGAGTAAGAACTCACGTTTTCGGTGAGCGCGATCGGCAAGGACCAACCACTGTGCTCAACGAGAGAGAGCCACCTCCTCCAAGACCACCACCTCGAGATGGACGAACTACAACTACTCTACTTCATAACACCAAATCCAGCACCCTAAACACTTATGAGATCCGCATGAACTCCTCTTAATAATATATACCCCTCGAGCCAAAGCATTAAAACTACGAGCACCCGGAGCGTTGCCTGAAATCAACGCTTGCCTGCGCGATCTAGGACTAAAACGAGCCACGGAGAGCTCAAAATCCACGTTGCAAGCCGAACAAGTTCATGGATGAGGACGAGAGAACGATAATTATACAAGAGTACAGAAACGGGTGAAGCAACGCAATGGCTATGGGGGTGAGAAGTCTAAATGTGAGCTTGCAAGAGCAAGTCAGACTGGAGTCGAAGCGAGAGAGAGACACCGTAATTAGGGTTTCCGATCTAATTGTATTCGTGTATTTTCGAATCGTATTGTAATCCATACTGTATCATATCTCGTTCCTGGCTTCAGTTACTCATACACGTATATATAAATATGCAAATAAATGTATAAATAATTCGGAAGTTGATAAAAGAATGATCTATGACGCATTTCAGATAACTGCAGGTCATTTTTTATGTTTCTGATTTTACTTTTAAAAATACAATCTATGAGAATATTTTTTTTCATGGTAATGTGAAAACCACACTAAAAACTCGTTTCAATGTATGTTTCACACAATGATATGCTGAAAATAAACGGCAATGTTATCATGTATTAGTGCTCACCCACAAAATTATTGAAAACGAAAAAAAAAATAAAATAAATAAATAATACTGATGCACCACATGCCAACAAACCATTGGTAGTCATGGCTTAACTGGTACAGTTTAAATAACTTTAAAAAAACAAGGTTAAACCAAATATAAGATTTTATTTTAAGTTTACAACTTTTGCATCATTAATTTAGCATTATAATACAATAACTGTATTTTATCATATATAGATATATATATATATATATATATATATACAGATAGATAGATAGATAGATAGATAGATATATAATTTTCTAACATTGGATGCCCTTGCTTTGTTTTAAGAATGATATTTTTTGTTTGAAAAATAAAAATACACACATACTTACACACACCATTTTTAAAAATATAGTACAACTAATTGCATAATCCAACTTTAAAAATCGCATAGTTTGGATTTGTGAATTTCTTTTAGATTCTTTATAATAGAATAAAATAATTACAAAAAAATTAAAAAGTTAAATTTTTATTTTATTTCACCAAAGTATTATCAAAATTATTTTTATTATTTATTTTTTAGTTTATTATTGCAAATGTTGTGAGAAATGATAACAAAGTAATTCTTTAAAGATATTATTAGTCATATAGACATATATAGATATATAAATAAATATATATATATATATATATATATATATTGCTAATGCTACCACAAGCTGCCACATTCATATTCTACAATATCTTTGAACTTATCTTTATAATCAAAATTTTAAACCAATAAATGAATAAATAAAATAGAATACACAATAGTTGCAACTTTGTATGTATAGAAAGACATAGAGACTGTTAAATTGATCCAAACATTTACTAAATATATCCACCCATCCTAATTATCATCAAATATTCTCCACTTCTAGATTTGTATTGATTGAAAACCAATAAAAAAATAAAAAATAAAATAAAAATGATTGGATATGCAACTAATGATGATAAGTGGATCAATTTATTCTCAATAAGCTAGTAGTTTATAATATTCAAAAATTAATTACAAGTGAATGAAGTTTATCATTAAAAGTTTGGTTTTAAAGATATAGTTGGTTAAAAATATATATATTACAGTCATTAATTTTATTATATACATTAATTTGAAATGTATATATTAATTTGAAACACATATATTGATATTTAAAAAAATTAATATATAAAAAAATTAATCTTATTTTTCATTGTATCATCAAAAATATTATTGTTTTTAGAGGTCTTGTGAATTCATTTATAAACACCAATATTCTGGTGTTTAAACTCCTTAAAATCAAAGACATGTTTCTAATAATTTTTGGCATATTATTTATAATAAATATTCAAACTTGAGATGAATTCCACTCAATTAACATTTTAGATTTAATGAACACCAATCAACTTACAACAATCCATCTCTAAACTTCAAGTCCTTTGCAATATACACCATTTATTTGATCTATGAACTTCCAATAACAAACCAACTTTGGACTCTTGAGATAAACAACAAAATTTATATATATATATATATATATATATATTACATAATTTAAAGTAGTACATCAATTAAATATAAAATAATATCTATTAATAAATATTGGTTAATTCTCTCTTTCTCTCTCTCTAGAGAATTGCTAAAGCCACACCTCCATATTGATAAAACCACACCCCAAAAGGTGTTGTGGTTGCTTGCACTACGATGCTTTTTAGGATTACACTTCATAATTCTTTTTTGGACACTTTGGAGAAGGTTGATCAATAAAGCGACTTGCATTTGGGCGGATGAAGCATTAGAAGTGAGGATTTAGTGTGTATGCACAAGTTTAAAGTGATAAAGAAAAAGTAGGATTAGACATAAGTAAAGAGTGGCAAGGGAGAGCTAAAGTAAACACAAGTGTAGAGCAATAGGAGAGGAGAGCACTTGAAGAGTGGGAGTTGAGGGGAGAGTAGGAGTGTATCCATGTGGGGTGTGGCTCTAACAATATAGAGGTCTTGCTTCAGCAACTCCTTGTATATATATATATATATATATATATCTGAATGAATTTCATACCTTGAAATAATACACATACACAGAGTGAGATAAGATTCATTAGTGATTTTAATTGCATACACATACACAGAGTGAGATAAGATTCATTACTGATTTTAATTGTTATTACAGAATGGTTGACACTACAAGTTCAACGTTCATTGATAGAGAATGGCAGAGAGTGTGAATGAAAAGGACCATCAGCCACTTTATGATGGAAGTTGATTAAGGGGCCCTAAGCTTGTTTAGCACTGCGATTAGCAGGGAAGGTGAAGCAGCCATTAGAACGCCATGAGAGCGTAGGTTGTGGAAGGAGAGAACGCCTACGGGAAGAGGGGCTGCGATACTGCTGCAGCGCCTGTCTTCGTTTGTATATTGGACTTCGGCTATGGCGGCTATGGCTATCTCAGTGTTGCCAATCGTGTCCGGTCTTCTGCCGTGCCTTGTTCTGCGCGTGATCGAGGGACAATCTCGGCGAGACATTTGCAATCTGAGCTCGGCTTTGTGTCCCGTCTCGGAGTCGCTTCAATTTGAGAGGTCTCAAGCTTGGTGTAGGACCAAAGTGAAGGAGTCCTCGAGGAGGTCTAGGAGGGTTGATGCTCGTGTAGTGATGGCGCAGGCCAATTCTGCGATGGAGAAGTCTCCAGCGAAGAAGCAAGTGCTGGTGCCTGTGGCGAACGGCACCGAGGAGATGGAGGCCGTGATTGTGATCGATGTTCTGCGGCGAGCTGGTGCGGCGGTGACGGTTGCATCCGTGGAAGAGGGAAAGCTCGTCAATGCTTCGCGGGGTGTGAATCTGTTGGCGGATTGTTTGATATCGGAATGCGAGGGAGTGGAGTATGATCTTGTGGTGTTGCCTGGTGGAATGCCTGGTGCTGAGAGGTTTCGGGATTCACAGGTTTTGAAGAGGATCACGGTGAAACAGTCGCAGGAGAAGCGGATGTTTGCTGCAATTTGCGCTGCTCCAGTGGTTGCGCTTCAATCTTGGGGGCTTTTGGCGGGGCTCAATGCTACTTGCCATCCTGGATTTGCAGTAAAGTTGGAGGATAAGTCATCAGTGGGGGGCAGAGTGGTGAGAGATGGTGCATTGACGACCAGCCGTGCTCCTGGTACTGCGTTCGAGTTTGCGTTGGCTCTCATTGAGCAGCTTTATGGTCCTGAGAGCGTGCCCGCAGTGGCTGATCCAATGGTACTTCCATCGCATGACGGTATTGTTTCTGCGGCTTTGAAATTTAATGATGAGGATTGGACGACGTCGTCGATCCCTCGGGTGCTGGTTCCAGTTGCAAATGGTTCAGAAGAGATGGAGGTGGTCATAATCGTGGATATTTTGCGGAGAGCCGGTGCGGAAGTCGTTGTAGCTTCTGTGGAAAGTGAGACTACCATCAAGGCTTCCCGTAACGTGCAGCTCGTGGCTGATACTCTTGTCTCTGAGATTGTTCAGACCAAGTTCGATCTAGTTGTATTACCTGGAGGCATGCCTGGCGCAACTCGCCTTCAAGAATCGGAAGAGTTGTCGAAAATTTTGAATCAACAAGTTGAAAGTGGACGCTGCTATGGTGCAATTTGTGCCGCACCTGCCGTGGTTCTTGAAGCAAATGGATTATTAAATGGAAAGAAGGCAACGAGTCATCCAGCATTTTCTAGTATTTTGAAAGATCAGAGTGCCGTGGAAGGTCGGGTGGTGATCGATGGGCGCCTGATCACTAGCAGAGGCCCTGGAACTGCGATGGAATTTACTCTCAATATAGTGGAAAAGCTCTTTAGCCGCAGCAAAGCTCAGGAGGTAGCTGAACCAATGGTCTTCAATTACGTTTGAAATTACATGTTTTGTAGTAGACATTGTGGCTGAGCCATGCTTTGAATCGTTTAGAATTCAGATGCCTTCATTGCTGCAATTTTGATTAGTGCGAATTTCATCCGAGTGAGGAAAGTTTTGCATGCAGTGGTGCGTGTTGCAAACCACCGCTGGCGAATTCCGCTCACTGGGTATGTAACTAACTCTTAGAAGTTGAGAATCTCTTGCGCTATACCATTAAGATGGGAGGCTATTACTGTTCTTGTGCTGGCGAACATTCAAAAAAGTAACGTAGGTTTGTAGTGGGTAAATTGAACTATATCCTATGATTTTTGCTCTTAAAAATTGTTACATAAAATTACGGATCCGATCTGAGTAATTCTAAATTCAGACATATCAGAAGTAAAGTATATCAACAACGAATAACATCACTTAATAATTGTTTTAGAACCGCACTTCGGAGGGACTTTGAACACATCTTTGCTCGAATTTTGGAAAATTGCCTCATATGAGGTATGACCTAAATTACATAAATTGTAAATTGTAAAGATGGAGATATGACCTGATTTTGGAAAATTTATAGATTCAGAACAGAGGTATGACGTGAATCTATCCCTTTAGCACCATATAGAATCTCTTATATAAAACAGATCAGAGGGGACAAATGCATTGGATAAACAATAGGAGACAATTTTTTTGATTCATTGTATGTTTCATTGTCTTTGTCAAAAGTGAACCAAAAATTGAGTTAACATAGGGCTTTAACAAAACTAAGTTAATGTTGATCATATCAAAAGATTGGCAAAGCTATTAGAGAGGACGAATTTCATGTAACAATTGTTGTTGCTTGCACATTTGATTATGTGGCACCAAGCACATTTATATTGATTTGTATGAAGGTCTAGAATATGCATTTTGCATTGTAGAATGTAATTGAGGGTTATAAGTGCGGTTTGCAATTGGATCAAAAAAAAGAAAACATCAACCTTAATCTTATCACTAAGTTGTTAGTTATATGACAACTTCTAATTTCACAATGGATTGAATCTAAATGCAAAAAGTCATAATTAGCTTGCTAGAAGATAAGTAGAATTGCTATCCAAAGTAAATTAATTGAACAAGTATTTATGTTTTTTAATTGCTATTCAAATTTGCATTTCTTCATCAAATGATTCTTAAAGAGAAGTAGCTATTTGATTCTAGATTCATAAATGCCATTTAGAGACTAAAATTATCACAAGATCTACAATACTAATATTGTAATTAAGATATATCAATCTTATAATTAAAGCATCTTATAAGAAGTAGATATATGTTTGTATTTTGTAGCTATCCTATCTACCTTAATGGCTTTTAAGACAATTTTTTAATTACATTGGAAGTCTAAGAACAAATTGCAGAATTTCCACCTATTGATAATTTACTTGAGAAGCTTATTATTTCAATGATTTTAGTTTTTCTAGATGTTAAAGCTTACATTTTCACAATATTGTTTCTTTACTTCTTCTTCTAGAGTTGGTTATTTCAATCATATGTGACACCTTTGTAAAAAAGGTTTAATTTCACATACTACATCAATGAAGTTATGACATTCCAAGAACTTGATTAATTTTTTGGATTTATAGATGTACTTTGATTTTAATCTATATTTTTATGAAATGTAGTGTAAAACCTTATGAGACATTTATTTTGGCAAATATCTTCTAAGATTGTGTCATTGTTAGAAATGATATATACTAGACCTATTTATGCTTCAATGCTTATAGCTCTATGTATCATAGAAGTGAGTCGTCCCTACTACTAATCTTGATAATATATAGCTAATATAGTATAATTTCTTCAATTATATATATTATAAGAGTTATTGTAGAAGTCGTAAATCATGGGTTCATGCCTATTTCAAAGACCTTATTGTAGGTCTATTTAGGATAATTATTTTGCAAAGAAGTTGTTTCATATCTAAATCAAATGGAGTCACAACCTCATCCTAGCAAGGCACAAGGTATGAGTTATGAGGGAAGAAGGGTGATATGTGTTGGATTTTGTAAGGTGCATACTTGACTCCGATCTTTAACTATGAAAATACAAATGAAGATGAGACACAATCCAACACATAGACTAGCGGTGCAACAAAAAGAATATATGCAATGGAGAGTGAGGGGTGTGCAATTGGCAATTGCACTACATAGTGTGTTGCTGCCAATAGCAGCCACAAAATGTGCCTTGCAACTAATCAGATTCTTGAGATTCCATGATAATGTCAAAAGTTCAGCTAGTTTTTATATAAAACAATTCAAGAGAGAGATTTACACATGGAATAAACAAGAAACAAAATTCCTCTATAATTTGTTATATGCCTCATTATTTTGATCAAAATATTTTATCAAAAATAAACCATAAGTTGAAATCATAGGGCCTTAACAAAACCAAGTTAATGTTAATTGTATCAAAAGATTGATAAAGCTATTGGAAGACAAATCATGTTATAACAACAATTGTTGTTGGCACATTTAGTTATGTAGCACCAGATATATTTATATTGACATGCATAAAGATCCAAAATTTGCATTTTGCATTGTGGTATGTAATTGAGGAATATTATGAGTTGCAGTATGCTATTTACTAAGGAAGACATTTATAATGCTTTATGATGGACCAATGCATCATCCTATATTTTTGTATATTCATATCAGGTTCCACAACAATAAGCATTAAGAGCTATAGAGAGAGAATAGTTTTTTTAGAAATTCAATTATCATAGAAGAAGTCCTAGAATTGTTGTGCATTTTACTCCTCTTTACACAACTTTTTGGATTACATTTTGATGCCTTATCTAATCTTTTACTAATGAAGAAGTATGCTACTACTATGCAACAGGCTTTGTATATGCAAAAATAAGACCTTATTGTGCAATTCTTAAAGAAATAGTCTTTTGCTTTGATATGTTCAATGTCTATTCATATCATAAAGGGATGAGTGCATGCTTTGTAATATATTATTCTAGGTATGGATTTTAGTCATGAACAAATAGAGGATAAGTGGTGTATGAATATAGTAGCTCTTTCAACTTTGCCATGATACTACTATATAAAACACAACATGCTAGCACATGCTTAATCTTTTTCAAAGAGCTTGATATGTTTTCCTCTTACTTTTAAAGCAACATAGCAAGTTGCAACACATTTTGATAAGTATCAAAGTGAAGAAGCAATAAAAGACATTGTAGAATTTAAAACTAAGAGTGGCTTTGAACTTCGAGTTGAAACAACTTCTTCTCTTCCATTAAGGGGCAAGAAACCACCACCAAATCAAATGCCAAGTAAGAAAATGAATAAAACTATTCAACTTATTGGAGAGCTTCTTTTCAAACTTGATCCTAAATCTTTAGAAGAGAAGCAAAAAACTAAAGAGAAGGTATCTTTGTTTAATTTGGATTTGATTTTGACAATAGTAAAAAACCTTTAATTGCTTAAGAACCTTAAATATAATGAGGTTTATAAGGTCAATGCATCTTTTATTTAAATAGGATGCCTTTGGAAAGATGGATTAACAAGTGAAGTAGTGGAATATGGTATGGTTGTCTTAGACATCAAACTACAAAAAAAAAAACCTTATAGAAGTTGCAAAATTAGAGGAATTATAATAGACAGTGGATGAAGTGATAGTAGATTCATGCACCATAGGGTACACACATGCAAGCATTTTAAAATTCACCATGCATTGTAATTTTGTCTATGAAATTATACAAAGAGAATGTTAAACAAAAAAAATGTTAAGATATAGTGTAATTATAATTTAAAAATTCAAACCACTAGAAGAATGCTTAGTTATTAGGAATTGGATGTGCAAAGTAGGTAGTAAAAAAAATATTAAAATTGATTCAAGACCAAATTATTTCTAAATCTTTTAAATAATAGGAAGCAAATCTTTGCAACATGAATTATAAAAAAGATTATTAAATACAAAGAGGTTCTTCCAAGTGGAAGAGTTGTCCATATGGAGACCACTAATTTTTCACAAAATTAGTATAATGATAGAGTAAATTAGAATAATTTTGCAATCTCTAATTCACTTTTGTGGACAAATCGAGTTGTAAGACTTAACTATGGAAGAATGGTTAACATCAATTCCAATTGATGTTATCAAGTGAAGCTTAACTTGTGCTGTTGTTACAGAAATATGTTGAAGTTAATATATATATTTTTCTTTTGAAATTTAAAATTCCCTTTTCACATTATCCATGAGCTTAGAGTAATTTTTTTTGCAAAGAAGCTCCAAAATAGATTCTTCTATAGTTAGTAGACTCAAATATCATACTTGTGATGATGATGCTCCATGTCCTACTCACAAAAGAATAAACAATGTTGGTCAACTTTTTTTGGGGTTGGATAGGGGTTTTGATGACGTGGATCACTTCTTTTTATTATGATTTTTTGAAACCATCTCACATGTAATTTGTCATAAATCAATTGTTCTAAATATGATACCATGGCAACTCTAAAATAACCCAAGTATGTGTTATTAACAACCACATTCATAATATATATGTATACAAATATGCATACTTATACATACCTAAAAGCTCAATCCTACAACATTGTTTCATTATTATTGTTATTGGAGATGTACCCAATCTCTCCTATAAAACATTTTCACATATTTCTGTAACAACAGCACAGGTTCAGCCAGTTTAATATATATGCACCAGCAGCATGGACACTGGGACTGAGAAAATATCCTGCGTGACTGAGAATTGGACTGCTGAGCTCTTGAACCAGGCCCAAGGACACATATGATACTATATAAAAGAAAGTTCAATCACTGGCTAGGGTTGGCGGAGGAGTGATGTTCTTCCACACCCAGGTGTCTCGATGATTGCTGCTTTAATTAGTTCGTCATGAATTGGAAAGCAACTACTGAATTGGCGTAAGAACGACCGACCGAGCGACCGACCAAGGTGATTATGGTCATAGCCCAGATTACCATGATGCTCCATTGTTGAATAATGAACACAAATTACATCTGCTTCCGGTGAGTACATTACATTCAACTGACATGAGCTCAAAATTTCAACAATGTAACGTTGCCTCGTTCGACTGATGCAATGTTTCCGACATGAAAGTGCGTAGACCTTGACTGAAAGCATTCACAGCATCGCCCTAGATTTGTAAACTTGCTTACATTTTTCATACCTAGTGAAATCTTACTGCAATCCTAGAGACTAAGTGGGCATTATGAGTCATCAAATCCCATCAAGTACTCAGCGCCACCATGCAATCACTGATGCACATTGTTTTAAAGATTGCTTCGGCAGCAAATGCCTAAGAACCGTCACCCGGTCTGTCTGCAACCGAACAAGCCAAGAGTTGGCCAAAACCAGTGAAATCTACCCACTTCAAATCGCCACCCGTCATTGATCATGGCGCACTTTCAAAAGGTTGCTTGATCTTCTCAAGAGCGGATCCAGAAACCTATCAGTTGAGAACAAAATCGGCTCAGGGAGATCAATATGTTGTTCATGCCCATACTAGTGGGCTGTACACAGGTACTTGGCACCATTCTAGGATGATTCGGATATCTCATTAAGCTGTTATGAAACCCCAAATGGAAACTCTTGCAAAGATGATTTCGAGACGAAGAACTTCTTCAACTGTCACTTCTCAACTAAAGAGGGAGGTCGGAACATTCACAACACGAAAATGCAACAAGTGTAACATCCTCCTGCTACTTTGGAAGAACATACCTGTCGAAAGCTGTAATGGGTTCCTGCAGAAACCGACTTCCGTCACGAATGGTGGATGAAGCCTTGTGTGCAAAATATGCGTTCCAGATCTATGGTGCTTACAGGTTTCTTCCATTTATGTCATATTTTCGTCATTGTTCGGATTCCATGACGGGTCAACAACCGTTGAAGGTCTGATGGACCACGTATTACAGACCCCTTGGATCACCTGGATGAGTTCTCTGACCTGGAAAGGCTTACAAGCATATGCATCCATGCCCGCACTCAGGCACTTGTCTTTGTAGCCTTGAATCGCATGAGCGGTCAGGCCAATGATGGGCTTGTGGGGATAGTTATGCTTCTCTTCAATTTCCCTAATTTTTCTGGTTGCTTGCAATCCATCAAGCACTGGCATCTGCAATGAAGCAGCAACTTGGCGATCAGAAACAAAGAGGCAACATCTTTCGACGACTGTTTCCAATTCATTTTGTAATACTTAACTTCGTGAGTAGACTGGCGCTCAAGGAAGCAACAGTGTTTCTCTAGGATAATACAGTGAAATGGAAACGATATAAACCCAGTCAATTGGGAGGAACACGGAGAAAACAGAGAAGAGAATGGGACCAAACCTGGACATCCATCAAGATAATATCATAACCATTTCGATCCCGCTCTAAAGCATCCAGGCATTGTTGGCCATCGGATACTACGTCCACCTCCGTTCCAAACTTCTTGAGCTGCTGACATGCAACCTTCTGGTTCACAATATTATCCTCTGCAAGCAAGATTTTCATACCTCGAAGTGACGCTTCGAAATTAGGGTCAAGCTGCGCATTTGGGCTCCACTCGAACTTCTTTGGAAAACTAGAAGATTTGGTGGGAGGAGGGGTTGTTTCATTTTCCATTGCCATAGACTGTAAAACACCAACAGCTACGCTGTTACACCTGCCTTTCTGCCTGCAATGCCACCAGAGAATACCAAAATTAGAGCCTTGGTGATATGTAGGATGAAAGAAGCTGAAATCTTACTTGAACTCTAGATTCATCTGTGCTGGAACGCTTAGTGACTGAACAGAAAAGTCTTAAGCCAAAGTTGTAAATTACAGTACTGCGTGCCTGAGGTTGCTGTAAAAAGGCTTGTCCAGCTTTTGGAAAAGATCACCATCTGCTCTCTTTGAAGAAACTTCGTGCGGTATCTTTACACTCCCAGATGGTGGATTTTTACTATGGGAATCCTGAGACAATTGTTTTTGTGAGGTCATGTGATTTGTTTCGAAGATAGATTGTGATGGCTGGTTTTCTTTTCTATTGCTCTGAAATGTTTGCTCTCTTTCTAGCTTGCCTTCATCTCTGCTCTTCATACTTTCACTATGTCCAGCTAGGTCGAATTGAGCAATAAAGTAGAACGTGCTGCCTTTCCCTGGCTCACTTTCTAGCCATATGCGACCACCCATCATTTGCACCAGCCTGACAGTTCAATGATCACAATAACAAATGCAACTCTCGTCAGCAGCTAACTCTTTCAAAGAGGTTTTGGTGATAAAGCCCAAGTGGATACATAATTAATCTCAAGCGCAATAGATAGAAGGAACCTGGGACTTTAATTTTTACCTGCAACCACGACATGGGGTACTTACCGTTCTACAATACTAAGGCCCAAGCCTGTTCCTCCATAGAGCCTAGTAGTTGAGCTGTCCGCTTGAGAGAAGGCTTTGAAGACCTCTTTCTGTTTCTCCTTGCTTATTCCAATCCCTGTGTCTTGCACTGCAAACAGCAAGCTCACCCTATCGTCTTTCTTTACCGTTGCGGAATTTGAACATCGACTGATTTCACCATCGGTAGCAAATATCTCACTGATATCGATAACATGATGACTGTCGTTCGTTTGGGGTTCTTCCGCTGCGGTTGGCTCTCTGGAACTGCTTTTCTTTTTCAGAGTAGCACTTGAAGTTCTCTCAAGAGGGCCAGTCCCAGTATAAACCTTCGCTGTAAGTGAGACGGATCCTTCATGAGTGAACTTAATCGCATTACCAACTGCCATGGATGATATAAATGTGAGTTTGAAATCAATAATAGGCGGAGTAACATATTACATATTGAAACTCAACGAATGCTTTATGAAATAATCTTAATTTACATCCTCCGATAGAAAGGTGCTCAGGTCGAAACCACATATAGTCAAAATAGAATGTTGTGAGAAGAAAGAGGTAAAAAATAAGTACCTAAATTGATAAGACATTGCTGTAATCTGGCCGCATCGCCCACCAAATGTTCTGGGACATTCTCATCTATTTCCCATGAAAGCTGCAACTGTTTTTGATTTGCTCTGACCTGAAAAAGAAATAAAGGGAAAAAAAAAGAGCACCTGATCAACTTATACAAACAACGACTTCCCTTAAAAGTATTTGTTCTGTAACAATAACAAGCTGGAATAGAATTCCAAAAAGAATCCCGTATGAATAAATCAGATTCAATTAAGGTGGCAATTAAAAGCGCCACCTACTTCCAAAAATTAGTATTTTGATCAGAAAGACCGACACAAACAACTCATACCAAAGCAATTGGATTGGCCTAAATAGCACACACTTCACTTGCAGATCTTTCTCAAGTTCAGGATGTGGGTGCCCATAAAACTAACGTCTCAATCAAGAAGTCACCTGGAGCATTTTGATTGTAGACGACACAGTGTCAAAGACGCTAAATTCAATACGTTCAAGCTCTACACGACCAGCTTCAATCTTTGCCAAGTCCAGAATTGCGTTGACAATGTGAAGCAGACAATCAGCTGACTGTGACACTGTCTCTAAATGCTCGCGCTGCTCATCAGTCAAATCCGTCTCAAGAGCAAGTGAGGCCATTCCAATTATTCCATGTATAGGAGTCCTGGCAACCAGTGAGACGCAGTTAGGCCACAGCAGTACAAACTAACTGATTCACAATGCTCCTTAATGGTAGAGTTTATAAAGCGTCTCTAATATATATGCTAATTTCCGAATTTAGGTCGAACATTAAATTGTGTTAACAAGATGATTCACCTGATTTCATGACTCATATTCGCGAGAAACTCAGACTTAGCCCGACTAGCCTCCTCGGCAGCAGCTTGTGACACTTGTAAAGATCTGTTGGTCCGTTCCAATTCTAGAGTTCGTGCACGCACCTACGGCCAGTAACTGGAATCAAAACCGATATAAATAATAAAGAGACACAATTCACTACACTGATGAATAATTTCACGCTCTCAAGAAGCTGATGGGAGGATCATTATTTTTGTGTAAGTAAAAGCGAAGTACCTGATCTTCAAGAGTACTGTTCATTTCGTTCAGCTCAAGTTCCATACCCTTCCGATCGTGTAAAATTGCAGCCAAAGTAATAGCCACCACCGCTAGAACGCACACAAACATTTGCACCTATTGCATGGAATTGAGCACATGAGCAAATAGGTAGTTAAATGAATGCAGCATGCGTTATGGAAAGTGAAACATCGCAAGAAAACATTCCCTATTAGATTCATTTAATGTGGAAAAAGGATCATCCACTTTAAGGCACTAAATCAAATACTATTTACCTGTAAAAGGGAGTGATTGTCATTCGGACTGTACAATGGCCCTTTATGGTCAGCTGTGCCTGCGCTAGCGATGATAGCAACGACGAGGACTGCAAGAGGAACCCCAATTCGATTAAATCGGAAGGAAGCCCAGATGACGACTGGAAACACCAAGTAAGAGAGTCTTTGAACGGCGTCGGTGTCATGAATTCCCTATGATATCATCCAGAAATGGTGTAAGAGAAGTCATTATGGCGCATTGAGGAACAGGTATAGCTGGCATTGTGCTCAGGGAGACCATGACCAAGGTTAAAGAATGTACCATGTTAAAAAATATGACCAACGAGAGCACAATGAGAACCACGAAGAGAACTATGCACTCTGAGAGTTTCAAGACAAATCTTTGCAGAGAACACACTTGACGAGCCTTTCGGAAACGGCGAGGTGTAAGGTCTGAAGATTGCTGAAACCTGCTAAAGAACGAACAAACGATATTAGAAACCTTTCAACATTTTCATTGGGTCACGAAATCAGACAGCTAATCTGATGAGATATTGATTTGGATACAGTCATAAAAAAATGAAATGACGAAAGAAAATGTGGTCAAACTAGGGCTTCGTTCTAAAATTAAAATACTTCTTTTTGCTTCTACAAGTCCCATCTGAACTATATCTTTGACCAAATTCGGATTCTGAAAAGGAGATGGGATCGCAATTTATTAAGCTAAACCTGGCCAAACTTCTTCTCTCATATATAAGCGCTTCCTCCAAGTTGGAGCCACTTCCTTCTTCCAACCTAATAAGGGAGCTTGAACTATCTCCACCTGAATAGAACTTTCGCCTTCTCTCCAGGACCCAGTTATTCCAACAGCATTTCCAGGTTTCTATTCTCTCCTTCAGAAGAATATTTCTCTTCCTTGCCAACGACCTATTTCTATATGTTAAAGTTTCCAAATCATTAGCACCGTCTCTGCCCAGAGTATTAGAATCAGAGAGGAGCTCGTAAGTCACTGTTTCCGCTCTCCTGCCCTTGACAAGACTATCTTGAAGTTTCTCAGAGCCGTTCCACGGCAATAAAGGTATCCCACTGTGCACACTGCGCTGTACCACTTTACTTTCCACCTCCCTTGACGAGAGGATCCCGTCTTCAAATTCAACATAAGGTTGAGACTCTTCATCCCTCCGATTCAACTCAACATAAGGGCTGACCTCCCTCTGCTGACCCCAAATTGGCAACATGTCGGGATGCAAAGCATTCCACAAGTGAAGAATACATGGAGCTACACAGAGAATAGCCGATAGGTCCCCAAGTACCCAGGTTGACCAAACTATCAACAACTTGTCCCATCCCACAAGGTTGAAGACGAAAAGAGAAACTGCATTGCAGGATCCACAAATGAAGCTCACAAGTGGTACCACCATGAATAGCCACATCGCATCGTGCAAAGTATCCACTGTTAGTGCTCCCTTTTTTACCTCCTGCAAAATAATGGGATTACAGTCAAATAGATGGATTTGAAGTACAACCCTCAAAAAGAATTCACACGGCATCATGGAAATAAATAAAAATGGATATGAATTGAACTAAGTTTCCCTCAATAATGAACGGTTTTCCCATAAGGTACCAGTAACACACCGTACTTTAATAACACTGAAAAATCGTAAAGAAAACACCCAAAGAAATTCCCTATGCTCAGTTTAGAACAATGTGTAATCCGTACCTGGGGAGGCAAGATGACACGGCCGTTCTTCCATTTCAATGGATGATTGAGCAACCAGCCACACAACACAGATTCAAGGCTTGAAAAAGCAGCTCCGACAAAGATAAAAGGTAGGTAATTCTTAGCCTTGTGGGCATGCAAGTACCAGAAATTGATAGCTACATTGCCCCAAAATCCACCAATCCATACGTGATAACCAAATATCAACACAAGCGCTACCATGAGACCCGACGGAGCCCAGATGGGGGACGAAGCCGAGCCAGCCACCAACGACAAAGTGCCGGACAGCCTCCCCATCCCAACATACAGGCATGCAGCGGCGAAATTCACAAGCAAACTTCTCCTCGTGAAGAATGCCATTGTCATCCTCAATCATCATGCCCTTCCCACGATGCTGCTGCTCCTGCTCCTCCACCTCCTCCTCCACACCCTTTCCTTCCCCTTCACTTCCCCAACAGACTACCATCAAGCCCTCATCTTTTTTCCTCTAATCCCCTTCCTTCCTTCTCGATCAATCAACCCTCCATAACGTCACCGCTCGATCAGCCTACAATCCACCATCATCTTGCTCACACAGTCACACCCCAGCTCCTTAGCAATCAACGCCAACCCATCAACCCCTAATTCCCTACACTCCACCCCATCACCTACTCCCAAACACACCCAACACTCAACCAAAAACCAAAATCTCCCATCCAAACCTCACCCCAAACTTCGAAAGTTGCGCTTCTCTCCCCGTCACGAACTATAATGGATCTGCTTTTGAAAATTCCCAAGAAGCTTGAGAAGCTATTGATCTCCGAGCCTGCGAAGAAAAGCGAATAGCGATGGGCTGCAGCAAGCACAGCATGAACACGATGAGCTCAAACCGAAGCCACCGAGACCCAGCAAACGGAAACGGGGCTTTCGGCCGTGCCGTGACGCACCATAACGTGACACAACGCGACGCGTCTATGAGCGAGACCCACGCGAGAGAACCGACCCCATTGATCCGCGGCAATGCCAGCTCGACAAATTAGACGCGGGGTTCTGGTGGCGGAAGCCAATAACGGCGTGGCAGCTCAGCCACGAGTATAGCTCCTTGTCGGATCTGTCCACGTCTCAATGACCACCACCGGGAGCGTCGGTCATGGGAAGGGCACTTTGCCACTTAGGTCAAAATAGGTCGTAGTTTGCAAACGTGGCGATTCCTTGTTTGCTCCCATATAAAGGAAAAAGCGAGATACCGTGCCCCCCCAATTCTTCTCGTTTAATCATTATTTTGTAAAAATAGTAATTTTGTAGGATTGAATACTATATGTGCTTTGTCAGGGGGAAAAAACTTACTACCAGGGTAAACTAAAGTAAAAAATCGTTCGTAGAAAGTTGTAAACCTCTGAGATTTTTTTTAATCATCTGCGTGTACCATCCATCCAAAATTTTACATTGGCTAGGATTTATGTACATCTATATATATATATGTGTGTGTGTGTGTGTTTTTTAAATATGTATTAAAGTACTAATTTTATGTTTTTGCAAATTTTGTAGTGTGAATTCTTGTGACCTATCAGGCAAAAAAGATAAACTATTACTATCTCACAAACAAACAATTTTCCAATCCTAATATGCAATACATAAAATCATTAATAAATTAGTAATTTTAATTTTTTTAATATTATTATACAAGATATAGTTACGATTTGATTAAAATCGATTATTTTCTTGACATTATCTGATTGTTGAATTAACTATTATTTATTAAAAATAACAATATTGATGAATTTAATATGATTTTAATTACAAAAAATATTAATATTTTAATAAATATCATATTTTAATTTTCATGATTTTAATTATATGTTAAAATATTTTTTCTTGTTATTTGTCTAATGTTGTACTTTTGGAAGGTTTTTTTATTTTTATTTGTTGTTTTTATATTTATAATTATTGAATCTTTGGAGATAGTATAAAATAGAAAGATGTAATAAAATTAATCAATCAGTATTTTATATAAGTTGAATTTTGATTTTTTAAATTTATATATGAGTTTTATTATTTTGTTAGATTTTGAAGTAGATTATTCTTATTATATAAGAAAAAAAATATTTATTTATAATTTAGCTCTATTGTCTATTTTCTATATAATTGAATATTTATCAAGTGTTCAAATAATAAATGCAATGTAGTTAATAGCAACAAAACTTTATCTTCAACTTCTAATTTGATTTAAATACTTGTAAACTCACAAAAAATCTATTTGAAGGTATTCAAGCAGTCCAATACATTTATGTTTTTTTTTAAGTGCCAAATAAATAACTGATGATTCAATGATTATTTACTTATAAATAGTTTTGTCATATTGTCAAGGACAAGAACTCGATGAAAAAACAATCCAGAGAAGTGAGCCTTCACTCAAAGAAAGGTAACAAAATATAAATAAATAAGTATGTATATTGAAAGAAAAACTAGAATGGCTATTGCCAAAAGACAAGAAAACTAGAGACCTTTGAAACTAGACTAGAAGCAAGAAAGGAGTTGACAAAAGTGAAGAAGGCTTCACTCTTGTCTCTATATATACTATCTAACTAGGGGCTTCGTGGCGACGTTCTATAGGACCTCCAATATGTGTTGACTTTGTAGGACACATGCTTTAACTTACAAGGCAAGTTTTTTCTATGTGTGGGCCACATAGTTAGCTTGATCTTCAAGCTAACAACATGTGTGGCACATGGCCAACTTGTTGACCACGTTTCTAATTCAAAAAATCAATTAAAGACACCTATGAAGTCAAAGCACCATCTATGAAGCTTCTAAGAAGCTTCTATATTAAATACTATAGAATTAATTTACTTTTACTTATTTTTACTTACTTCTACTTATTTGTATATGTAATTACTAGCTTACATGAGTATGTCCGTGACACATATATATGCTTTTTTATTTAGTTTATAGCTTTAGAATTAAAGTTGTATTTATAATATTATATAACACCTTATTTATAAGACTCAAAAAAAATTATATTTACATCAATAAGGTTCATTTTTTCTTGTCTTTAGTACTTCTAATTAACGGGCCTTTTTTTCAACAATTTGTGTAATTTTTGTATAAGTAAAATTTTAATCTTCATCTCATATAATCTAAAAAAATTATTCTCTTAAATTTTTTCAGTATCAAATATTGTATTTTAGATCTTTGCAACCATTCCATTACTTCAATTATATTGTAATATCAATCATGGAGAGGACAGATACATAATCACATTGATATAGAAATAAATATAGAGCATAGTTGTTTTATTACAATCCTAAAATACATGCACATGAAATTTTAGTTCTATAAAACCAAGTACTGAAATTGCTAAAAAAATTCAAAGATTATCCTAATAAAGCATATATGATAAATAAAATATCTATCAAATTGGGCATATACATCAAATAAAGTATCTACCAAATAAAGTATATATTAAGCTATAAAATGTGTTGTTATTTTGCCAAAAAGAAAGCAAGAATGATGTCTTTGATTTCTTTTTTGCTCTATAACTTTAATGGAGAAAACTTGAGTTATTATTAAAAACAAAAATTTAAAGAATATAAATAAACAAAACAAGATGTAGATCCAAGAGAGATGAAAAAATAAAAAGATGAAATATATATATTTAAAAAGAAATAGGATTGGCTATTGTCAAAGATAAAAAAGACTAGAGACTCTTGAAATTAGACTAGAAGCAAAAAATGTGTTAATAAGAGTAAAAAAAGATCTCATTCTTACTTCTATATATACTATCTAACTAAAGAACTATGTGGAAACATCCTATAGGCTACATAACACGTATTTAATTTGTAAGATATATGTTTAACTTGTAGGATAAGTTTTTAACATGTGCACTATATAGCCAACTTTTTTGCCAAGTTTTTAAACTATCAATCACCTACAAATACTCACAAAGTCAAGTTTTTATCTACAAAGGTTTTAAAAAGATCTTCAATACATATTATTCTATTTTCATTTATTTTTACTTACTTCCATTTAATTCTACTTATTTGAAGTAAATTTATTAATAAATATAGATATTTGTAATATTATCCTTCTTTTAGAAATGATATCAAGAAGAATCAATATGATCACATGTCAAGAAAGTCTAAAATGTGAAAAACTATATTTTTTTGGTACTTTGATCTTTATTGTCTTTAAAGGTGGTTGATAGGTTCTTTAAAGCAATAATAATATCTCATATTAAAGCAAAAAGAACACTTATTACTTGATCATTATTAAAACTTTCACAACTTCTTTTAAATAATAAATTTCAAGTAGTCAATATTTCTAATAATATCATTAAATTCAAGACTCTATTTTAAGATCATAATATCATATATATTGTATGTTACTATCTAACTATGAAAAAATATATCATTATTGAAAATCTTTAAATTGATTATATTATTATGAAAGTTGATACAATCTCAATGATTTGTTTAATAATTTTGTCAATAATAATTTTTGATTTCAAGGTTGTTGATTATCTATCTAAATGAAAATAAAAATCTTACAATAAAATTATAAAAAAATTATAAAAAAATATTCTAAATTAATTTTTGTTTATTTTATACCATAAGATCTATAAACTTTTTATTTTGATTTTGATGGATGTGTTAGAAACATACATATTTATTTAAATAAGAAGTATTAGATAGAAGATAAATGTAAGTAGATTTGATATTATTTTGTAACAAAGCTTCTTAGAAGCTTCATAGGTACATACTTGACTTTATATATGTTTATAGTAAATTGATAGGTTAGAAACTTGGCCAACAAGTTAAATGTGTATTGTACGTATAGATAACTTGTAGTACAAGCTAATATTGTGGTGAATATATAGGAAAATAATCTTGTAAGTTAAGACACGCATCTCGTAAATTAAACATGTGTTGGAGGTCTAATAGGATATTACCATGTAGCTCCTAGTTGAATAGCATATATGGAGACAAATGAATATACATTTAACACATAAAATAGGCTTCACTCTTGTCAATGCATTTTTAGTCCTTAGTCTTATTTCAAGACCTTTTAGTCTTCTTGTCTTTGACAATAGTCATTCTAGTTCAATATATTACCATCTTTGGGTGATTTTTTAGTCTTTTCAAGTGACATAAGAATGTAATCAGATTTTTATTTTTATTTATTTATTTATTTTATTTTATTTTAAGATTCATGTCTTTAACAATTTGATAAGAATACTAACTTATTATCTTTGTTTTGTATCAAAACTAAGTGGATTACTTTACTTCTATTATTTTATTTTGAAAGTTATAGATTACGTACCTTTAAATTCACTTTTAATTTTTAGAATTGATTGTTTGTTTTAAAAAGAATGGACTACTCATTTATGTCAAAAAATTTATTTAATATTAGAAATTATAGATTATCTTCCTTTAATTTGACTTTTAAATTTGTTTGAATTTTCTATAGAAGAAAAAATTATAGATGCTATTCTTGGCAAAGTAGGAATAGATTTGCAGTTATTGCAGATCTTCATGAGCTTATCAATACTATAAAGGTGGAAATCTTACATATCTCTAATATCAACTATAGAAGTAGTATTTCAATGCCTATAGAAGAGATCAATAATAAAGTTGAAAGTCTATGCCAAGAAGTTGTGTAATTAAATAAAGCTAGTATATCAAGTTTATAAACAAATTCAAGAAGTCTTGCTACTCTACATATGACAGATGCAAAGATAAGTATGCTCAAGAAGTTCAATAGAATAAGATAAAAAATTTGAGGATTTCTACAATAAATAAAGTTTTTTTTAAGATTGCATCTTTTTCAATAATCTTATCGATTTACTCAAGTTAAATTCATAGATATATATTTTTTTGAGAGTGCTTTCTTTTTATTTATATTTTTGATGGAAAAAAATCTATATTTTTGTTATGATCTAAATATATATT